GCTAATCAGAAGTAAGAGTCATGAAAGAGAAAGGAATTCAAAAGACAAGGAGTATTTCATTTGTAGTAGCACTAAAAATAAGCCACTCAATTTATTCATTCACTGATTCATCCAGCAAATATAAGTGCCTACAATAAGCCAAGTACCACATGAGGCATAAGACTGGATAATTAGGTCACTGGTAAAGATAGGGAGAAAAATTTCATTAGTGGTAGAGCTAAAAGTAGAATGGAATAGGCTGAACCCTTCAGAATGATTTAAAAAGTACTTTGTGCCTTTGAACCTAACACATGTACATTCTAGCAATTTAAGTATACTTATAATACGCTTATATTTTTATATTTAAAATATACTTATTTATATTTATTATAATTATAATATTTATAATATCCTTAAAGTATTCAATGAATTGATCAACAATACTGGGTAGACCTACAAATACCATTAGAAACAGCTTAATCTTAAAAAAAAAAAGAAATAGCTTAATCTAACTTTATTAATAACAATGTTCAGCATTATTCCCTAAGTATTTCATATATAAAAATTCTGTCTCATTAATAACAACTTAGGCTCTAGGAAGGGAATAACAGAGATGAGTTCATTGCAGAGCAAACTGAATTATGCTCAATAAGTATAAAATATTCTAGCAAAGTGAAATGTTTACAGCAATAAACCTCTTAATACTTACCACTTACATTAGGCTTTTCGAGGCCATTGGCCTCTAACCGTTTTTGTTTTGTTTTAAGATTTTATTCACTTATTTGACAAAGGAGAGAGAGGGAACACAAGCAGGGGGAGTGGGAGAAGGAGAAGGAGGTTTCCTGCCAAGCAGGGAGCCAGATGCGGGGATCCATCCCAGGACCCTGGGATCATGACCCAAGCCAAAGGCAGATGCTTAACAACTGAGCCACCCAGGTGCCCCTCTCTAACCATTTGTGATCACACATCCTCACATGTGCAAAATTTATTTCTGCATTCATCCTCAATGTTTATTTATATGTAAGTATTACTAGCATAATAATCTAACCCATTATAAAATTAAAGGAGGACACGTGTTGTGATGAGCACTGGATGTTACATGTAACTAATGAATCGTTGAACACTACTTCAAAAACTAATGATGTACTGTAATCTGGCTAATTGAACAAAGTAACAATAAATTAATTAATTAAATAGAAAATTTTTAGAAAGGAATAGTTTTAAAAGGTAAAGAAACAAGTTCTAATACTTTCCCCCCATATCTGATTCAATTACCTGTGCCTCCACAACCTACACACTGGATACTTCTTCTAAAACCATTAATTTAGGTGACCACATTAAAACCTTTAATATAAATATGTTAACCAAATAAAATCTACTCTGAACAGCTCATATATCATTTGTTCCTTTTTCTGATGTCGTACATTTAATAACACCTGCAATCCTCACTGCAGTTGCCTTAAAGCAGACATAAAGACCAAGAAAAATCATCTCTAAAGGTGCCTGACCCAACAGGATTGTTCCCTTTTCTGGAAAATGACTTTAAAGGCTGTATTTCAAAGGTTGCCATCTCATACAAGTTATTTTAAATGTAAGAAATACTATTCAGATGCTCTGAATCCCCAAAAAGGGTTGGGTTGTTTGTTTGTTTTCAGTCACAAGCTTATTTTTCACTCAGCTTTTTGAAAAACTGTCTTGAGGCTGGGAGACTAACTGGAATTTGAACTTTTTCTAGTACCTATTAACGGAATTTCTTGTGCCCCGAAGTCTCCATTTCTACGGTTTGGGTTCCTATTAGTAACATCGGTACAAAAGGGTAAGTGTGCTGAGTGAGCCCTTAGTACTTAAAAGACAGAAAGGACAGAGCTGTTTCTTGTTTACCAAGGAAGAAAGTCGCTCTCCTACAGAATATGAATCCTAAGTGTTGTAATTAAGAGACATCAAGTCAGAGGTTTGTTTTTAAAAAACGTTTTAAAAGCCAAAGAGTAAATGCTGATGTATATTTTTGAAGTATCACTATCCCGCTTCACAGCTTTCGAATCCTTTATCTCTTATGGATTACCGCGGAAACACTAAATTTTCATCTTGGAAGGGAGCTGACAGGTTATTAACCCACCCCTGCCGACGTCCACACAGCCCTCCGAGGCACCTGCGTCCAGGTGGAGGAGGACAGAGGGCGACCGCGACGGTGCGACAAGTAGCCCTCCCCGCCCCCAGCCCCAGAGCCACCCTGCCGTATTCTGGAAACTGCAACTAATACGCTGCTGCTGGGCTCACACAGACGCTGAGACCCAGGGAGTGAAGGGGAACGACTGACAAGCCCGTGTACCGGGAACAGGAACTACCAAGGTACGGAGAAGCCGAACCGCAGGAGGATGAGCTCGACCGTTTAAGGATCCCTCCGAAGGCCAGCCTGGCTGCCTACAGGATCTGTATTCCCCGCACCTTCGCGTCAGTAAGGAACAGGTCCGGCTGCCACGCCCCCGCCACCGCGGTCTCCCTCGGGAACCTGAGGGAAAAAACCCGGCAGCATGGCCTGGTCCTCAAGCTTTCGCAGAGAAGGAGTAAATAAAAACAGTGGCCCCTGGAACCAGTAACTCCCAAAGGGACCAAGCCCGAGGTTCACCCAAACTGGCCTGTGTCACTCCCACTTACCCATTAATGTGGCAGTACCCGATGCCTTAACTTCCCAGTTCCCGGTTGCTGCGTCCGCTGCAGGTAACAGTAGGGTCGCCACTCCGCCCCTAGCGTTGAACGTAGCGACAAGGTTCGCAGCTCAAGATGGCGGCTACCTGCGCCCCTTCCCCGAGACCCCGAGGCTCGGCTCCCAGAAGCCCTTGCATGCGGCGACCGCAGTGGTGGCGGCGGCAGCTGCACCCGCCGGTAGAGGGGCGGAGAGCAGCGAGCGTCGCAGCTCCACCCACCGAAGGAGGAGGAGCCGGCTCCTGCACTGACTCCGGAATTTTAATTCCGCGCCGACGCCGTGTCTGCAGTGTGTCAGACTGCCCTCTGTGCGAGCTCTCATTCATTCACTCATTCGTTGGTTTAGTTTGTTTATTCATTCATTCATCCTACAAGATAGTATTGATGGAAGGTCTGATCTGTGCTAGACACTGTTTTAGATATTAGAGCTGCTATAGCATACACAACGGAAAAATTCCAACCTCGTGGAGCTTTACAGAGGCTCTTCTTCAGCTGCATTAACCTCTTCCTGTATGTCCTGCTCATTCATTTCAAGCTTTGGAATTTGCCATTTATTTAAAATTTGGATTCTATAACATCTGTGGATTTCTAACAAAAAGGTAGTCATTGATATATGAAATAAATAATTCCAAATAAGAAATTCCAAATTATTATAACACACATAAGCTTTGTAATCCATCTTGGAGTTCAACAAACAGCACTGAAAAGAGACTTGTCTTTTAGAAGATAAGTAATACGTGATTCCTGCCCTGAGGAAGATCCTGTTTTTTATCTCTTGTTCTTTTTGTTTTCTGAGAAATTTCTTAGGTTATATTCCAGCTCTGGATTAGATAGATAGATAGGTTGATTGATAGATTCTGCTGTTGTATTTTTTTAAATTTTGCTATTGTATTTTTAATCCCAAGAGCTATTTCTTATTTTTGATTCAGGAATTAAATCTTTTTTCTAATATCTCTCTGAAGATATTATAGTTTCCTCTAAGTATTTTTTTTTCTCCTCCGTTCATAGTCTCTGATTCTTTAGAGTGTTTTTCCTTTTTGATCATTTTGACTTTCGTCTTTCTTGCCACAGCTATACTCTAATGCCCAGTGATCCTTGAGTATCCATTCATATTTAAGACTGAGACACTAAAGAAAACTATTGTAAACTTGTGTATCTGCTGACTGTTTACTTGCCAGCTGTTGTTTCATTGGAGGACTTTCTAAAAGTCTTTATCTGTAGGTCTTTTCTCTCTGACCAATAATTTGCCCTGGAGAGGAATTTTCTAAACTCCTGACATCAGAATATGATGGGAGGGGTGTGTGTGGTTAGCCTCATAATTCAGTATTTAGTTTGCACTATTCACACTTATATTTCAACACCTTGACTCTCCCTCTCCCCAACTCTAAGCTGTGCATTTCTGACTTAATAGTCTTTTTGATTAATTTTCTTTATGAAACCAAACCTATAGTCTTCTATCTTGGAAGGAAAGATCAGTCACTTGGCAAGCTGGTAATGAGGAAATCTGGAGGTAGGGTGCTAACTGCTCCTTATTGAGACTTTTATGCAAAGTGTTCCTCTTTTCAGGCCCAATTTTAATATGTTTTTTAGAAGCATATGGTCTTTAATTTTTGAACATTTCCAGAATTCTGATATATAAACTGATTTATTTTTTTGACTTCTCTTAGCCAAGTTAGTTACTACTCATCCATCCTTTCTTTAGCTTTCAAATGTTATTAAAATCTCATTAGCATTTATTTTTATTATTTTTATTATGTCATTTTAGTAGATTTTGAGAGGCAGGGAATATAGATGTACATGTTCAGTCTGCCGCGTTGAACCACAAAACCCCAAATATACTGTACATTATCAAATTATGCCACTCTCTTATTTAAATATTCCAATAGTTCTCTATAAGAGTCTACATGATTTGGCCCCTGTCTTGACATACCGTGGCAGTTAGGCCCTAGGGTATTGTGTACTCTTGTAATGTCCTAGCTTCCGTCGTAGGAATTCATTCTGAAAATTCTCAGAGCCCTGTGTGTCTCCTAGTAAATTAGGAGTCAGCACCTGGAACCGATGATGCAAAAAAGACTACGACTCCCAGAAAACACTACAACACAGACTAGCGTGGAGCAGTGCATGCTGGGAGCCTTTTCCTTCCGGGGGTACAGAGGAAAAGCTTTTTTGAATGTGAGAATGAAAGTGAAAGTATTTTGGAGGCGCTGGTTTGTTTCTTGGTTAACTGTGACTCTCAGGGTGTAGAGAGGGCCTGTGCGTCCTAGTCTGCGGGGCCGGGAAAGGTAATCGACGTTGAACGTCTCTCTGCGGGAGAGCCAGACGGTGTCGGCGGCCGACCCGAAGAGGAAGCCCAGGATAATCAGGCAGTGTGGCCGCGGCCGGATCTTTGGGCCGGTAGGAACTAATGGTCCCTTCCCATATTCCCCCGGCCTCGACTATGACCCAGTCAGTGTCTGGGCTGGTTTCGGGTCCTGGAAGTTTGCGCGGACTCTTGGGCAGAGTGGGCCTTTGGCATGCGGCCCTTATGGCTTCTCTCACCGCCTGCTCAGCCTGGCACCTGTCAGTCTCCTTATATCTCTCAACCACTTGTCCTGATCAGATTGTTTGGGAGTTCAAGCGTATCCCTCTGTCTAGCCCCGGGAAAATAAGAAACTGGGTGTGACGTTCTTTCCACTGGTGGTTTGGGAGAGTTTCCTTCTAAAATCAGAAACTATTTTCACTTGTTTAAAGAGAATAAGAAACATAAAGGACAATGTAGGAAGTTCTTATAAAGCTAAATTTATTCAAATAATGGGAATGGTTTCCTTACCCCCTCCCCGTTTGTTTTTAAATAGTCCTTAGCTGAACAACATAAGGTTGTGGCTGTGATTGATTTTAAAAATTCTTAACAAAATCTGCTTTTGTCCGTACCCAGTACTTCTATTAGTCCATAAAACCCTAAAGTGATTGCTGGTTTAGTACAATTCATTTTATAGACCGATTTTTATAGACCGATCCTCAAAGACATGAGCTATCTTACGTAAATTCTGAAATGTGAGATTGCATTCCAGTTCTCTTTGTTCTGGAATCCGTGCTCTTTGCTACCATGGACGCTCTTTTTATTCTTTGGGTTGAGAGGACAGTGTTTGGAGCCTGACTGGGTTAGCATTTGGCTCACCATTTTCTGACCTCGGTGACCTATCTGAGCGAGGGTTTCCTCCATATAGGAGGATGATAATGCTACTTAAATTACTTCGATATAATTAAAGCTCTTTAACTGTTAACTTATTTTATTAAGATGTGTTTATTTACCCTCTCCATTGTTAACATCTTTAAGTTTCTGTATTTAGATAGATCAGTTGTTAAGATTTCTTTTAGTTTTCTCTTAACTGACTTACCATACTTGGGCAATTTTATAAACATTATTTTCTTCTCGACCTCACACCAGACACGCTTTTTGAAATATATTTAAAATTATTTATTTTAATTTGAACTATTATTGCCTTCATTTTATTGAAACCATAAACTCAAAATACAGTAGAGAAATTTTGGTTGAGATTTATAATGAAGTTTGTACATTTGAGGAACAGTTTAGTACATTGAAAGTATCTTCAAATAATCCAGTTTTAAATAGATACTTGTTAAAAATTTGTTTCAGATCATCTTATAGAATGCATTTTTTCTCCAGTCTTTCAAACTTAAAATAACATTGTATTCTTTTCTAGCTACCTGATGTACTATGCTTTCTTGTGATATTTGTGGTGAAACAGTAACCTCAGAACCAGACATGAAGGCTCACCTGCTAATTGTTCACATGGAAAATGAAGTTATATGTCCATTTTGCAAGTTGTCAGGTGTGAATTATGATGAAATGTGTTTTCATATTGAAACTGCTCATTTTGAGCAAAATGAACTAGAAAGAAGCTTCGCGAGGATCAATACAATACAGATTAGAACTTCAGATAACAGGAAGGACAACACCTTACAGTGTAGAATGGAAGTTAATTCTAGTGTCCATTCAGCTTGTGCATCTAATCATCCAAAAATTTCAGCGCAAAGCCTGCCTTATGATGGTACTTTAAAACATAAAACCTTTTATTCGGAGAACTTAACTAAATCCAGAAAATTCCTTAAAAGTAAGGAAAAAGAGTGTGACCCATCTAAGATAAAAGGATCAATTTATGAAACAACGTATAGTTCTCCTGAATGTCCATTCTGCGGAAGAATAGAAGATTGTAGTCAAGATATGGAAAATCATGTGAAAACAAAGCATGCTGATCTTTTAGACACTCCATCAGAAGGTAAGATACTCATTTTATGTGATAATTAACAGTAGTGTCAGTTTAATATGTGGTGTCCTAAAAGTTGGTTTGTAAATCAGATTACTGCAAATGTGTTTTTTATTTTTTTATTTTTATTTTTTTAATTTATTTTTTTCAGTGTTCCAAGATTCATTGTTTATGTATCACACCCAGTGCTTCATGTAATACGTGGCCTCTTTAAAACCCACCACCAAGCTCACCCAACCCCCCCATTCCCCTCCCCTCCAAAACCCTCAGTTTGTTTCTCAGAGCCCACAGTCTCTCATGGTTTGTCTCCCCCTACGATTTCCCCCAACTCTCTTCTCCTCTCCTCCCAATGTCCTTCGTATTATTCCTTATGCTCCATAAGTGAAACCATATGATAATTGACTCTCTCTGCTTGACTTATTTCACTCAGCATAATCTCCTCCAGTCCCATCCATGCTGATACAAAAGTTGGGTATTCATGTCAAAAAAATGGGCAGAAGACATGAACAGACACTTATCCAAAGAAGACATACAAATGGCTAATAGACACATGAAAAAATGTTCATCATCTTTAGTCATCAGGGAGATTCAAATCAAAACCACACTGAGATACCACCTTACAACAGTTAGAATGGCCAAAATTAACAAGACAGTAAACAACAAGTGTTGGAGAGGGTGTGGAGAAAGGGGAACTCTTTTACACTGTCGGTAGGAATGCAAGTTGGTGCAACCACTTTGGAAGACAGTGTGGAGATTCCTTAAGAAATTAAAAATAGAGCTACCCTATGACCTTGCAATTGCACTGCAAGGTATTTACCCCAAAGATACAGATGTAGTGAACAAAAGGACCATATGTATCCCAGTGTTCATAGTAGCAGTGGCCACAGTCACAAAACTGGATAGAACCAAGATGTCCTTCAGCAGATGAACGGATAAAGAAGATATGGTCTATATATACAGTGGAATATTATGCCTCCAGCAAATGTGTTTTTTAAATTCAGTTTATAACATTGTTCATTTACTATTATTATAAAAATGCAGTTGTGGAAAAGAATTTTTGATTCAGTTAATAAATAATTCAACTACTTTGAGAGTAGTTTTAGAACCTTTCTGAGGAGGGCTATACCTAGAGTCCGTTTTTCAGAGGGCGTTCTTTTATTTACCACCAGCCCAATGGCATCTGAACTGTCTTGGACTCCGATTTTCTGTGGTTCTGAGTTTGACTCCCTTATGATCAGAGAACACACTCTGATTTTAGTTCTTTTAAATGTGTTGAAACTTGTTTTATCTGCCAAGATACTGTATATGATCTGTCTTGGTACATATTCCATGGACACTTGGGAAAGAGAGATATATTCTGCTGTTGTGGGTTTGAGTGTTCTAAATTTGTCATTTAGGTCATTTTGTTTGTGTTCAGGTCTTCAATATCCTTTCTGATTTCCTGTCTAGCATTTCTACCAGTTTTTGAAAGGCGGTTGTTGAAGTCCGCAATTATAATTACATATTCGTCTATTTTCCCTTTCAGCTCTATCAGGCTATATTTTATGAATTTGGAGGCTCGGTTTTTCTTGCATACAGTACATTTAGAATCATCTCTTTTTCTTTATTATTGAGTTTTAAGAGTAATTTTTTTATTTTGGATATGTGTTTTTTATCCGATACGTGTTTTGCAGATATTTCTCTCAGTTTGGAGCTTGTCTTTTCATTCTCTTCACAGTGTTTTTCACAGAGCAGAAGTTTTAACTTTTAATAAAGTGCTACTTACTTGATTTCTTCATCCATGGATTATGCTTTTGATATATCTAAAAACTCATCACCAAACCCAAGCTCATCTTTCCTGTGTTATCTTCTAGAAGGTTTATAGTTTTGAATTTTACATTTAAGTCTGTGAGTTAATTTTTTAAAAGGTATAAGGAGAGTGTGTCTAGATTCATTTTTTTAATTAATAAATGTTATTTTTTAGAGCAGTTTCAGATTCATAGCAAAGTTAAGTAAAAAGTACAGAGAATACCCATGTACCTACTGTCCTCATATACTAAAAACCTCCTCCACAATCAATATCTGTACCACGTGATACATTTGTTATATTCAGTGAACCTACACTGACCCATTATTATCACCCAAAGTCTATAGTTTCCATTAAGATTCATTCTTGGTGTTGTATATTCTATAGATTTTGGCAAATGTGTAATAACAACTACCCATCATACTAGTTATGCAGAATAGTCTCACTTCCTTAAAAATCCTCTGTGCTCCACCTAGTCACCCCTCCCACACCCTAACCCCTGGCAATCACAGATCTTTCTACTACTACGATTTTTGCCTTTTTCAGAAAGTCATTGGAATCATGCAGTATATAGCTTTTTCGGATTGATTTCTTTTACTTAGTAATATGCGTTTAAGCTTTTCTTCATGTCTTTTCATGGCTTGATAGCTTTTTTTTTTTTTTTTTTTTTTTTTTTAAGAGCTGAGTAATATTATATTGTCTGGATATACCACAGTATATTTATCCATTCACCTATGAAAAACATCTTGCTTGTTTTCAAGTTTTGGTAGTTAGGAATAAAGCTGCTTTAAATATCCACATGCAGGTTTTTATATGGACAGATTTTCGATTCATTTGGGTAAATACCAAGGAATGTGATTAATGGATTGTATAATAATAGTGTGTTTAATTTTAGTAAGAAACTGCCAGACTCTTTCACAGTGGCAGTGAATGAGATTTCCTGTTGCTCCACATCCTCACCAGCATTTGGTACTGTCAGCATTCCAGATTGTGACTGTTCTAATATTTCTGTTGTGGTATCTCATCTTAATTTAATTTGAAGTGCTCTCTCATAACATGAATATCTTTTTGTATACTTAATTGCCATCTGTGTATCTTCTTTGGTAAAGTGTCTGTGAAGGTCTTCAGCCCATATTTTAAATCTGTTGATTTCTTATTGTTGTTTCTTATTGTTGATTTTTAAGAGTTCTTTGTATATTTTGGATAACATCTTTAGTACATGTATCTTTTGCAGATAATTTTTCTCATTCTGTGACTTGTCGTCTTCACTTTGACAATGTCTTTCGGTGAACAGAAGTTTTTTATTTTAATGAGGTCCACCTTATCACTTATTTTGTAACTTCGCCAAGCCTTTGGTGTTGTCTTGGTAATATCCTAAGTCATCTAAGTTTTCTCCTATGTTATCTCCTAGGAATTTTGTGGTTTCTCATTTTATGTTTAGGCCTATGATCATTTTCAAGTTACTTTTTGTGAAGGGTATAAGGTCTGAGTCTAGATTCATTTTCTTTACATTTTGATGTCCACGTGTTCCATTGTTGATAAGATTTTCTTTCCTCCATAGTTTTGCCTTTGCTTTGTCAAAGATTTAGTCGACTAGACTATTAGTCCATTTCTGGGCTCTCTGTTCTGTTCCACTGATCTGTTTGTTCTTTTTTCAATACCACAGTGTCTTGATACTCTAACTTTATAGTAAGTCTTGAAGTACAGTAGAGCCAGTCCTTTGAATTTGCTCTTCTTCAATATTGTGTTGGTTATTCTGAATCTTTTGCCTCTTTGTATAAATTTTAGAGTCAGGTACTTGATAGCCACAAAATAACTTGCTCAGATTTTTTATTGGGATTGTCTGGAACCTATAGATCAACTTGGGAAACATAGGCATGGTAGCATTATTGAGTCTTCCTATCATAAACAAGAAATATCTCTCAACTTAGTTTTTCTTTGATTTCTTTCATCAGAATTTTGTATTTTTTCTCATGTGTATCTTGTTATATATTTCATTAGGTTTTTGCCCTTTTTTTTTTTTTTGGTATTAATTTGCCTAATTGTGTCTTTCAAGGAATGGTCCTTTTCATCTAGTTTATAAATTTATGGCATAGTTTGTAATATAACTTTCTTATCTTCAGAATGTACATAGGACTTGTGATATCCCCTTTTTTATTTCTGGTGTTAACAATCTGTGTTCTCTTTTTTTCTTCTTACTTAGCTTGGCGAGAGGCTTTGGTTTCATTGGTTTTCTCTATTGGTTATTTGTTTTCAGTTTCATTGATTTCTGCTCTTTTTTTTTTTTTTTTAAATGTCTTCTTCTTATCTTGGATTTAACATGTTCTTTTTTTTCTAGTTTCCTTCAGTGGAAACCTAGATGATTGATCTTTCTTCCTTTCTTATATATGTATTCAATGTTATAAATTTCCTTCTAAGCCATGCTTTTGCTGCATTTCACAAATTTTAAGTAGTATTTTAATTTTCATTTAGTTCAAAATATTTTAAAATTTCCCTTGAGATTTCTTTGGTATATTATTTAAATGTTTATCTAATCTCCGGGTATTTGGGGATTTTTCAGCTCTTTCTCTTCATTTTTGTTTGTTTCCTTTGTAGTTTGAGAGCAGATGTTGTTTGATTTTAATTCCTTACATTTCCTAAGTTTTAATGGCCTAGATTATGTTTGATGACCTAGAATGTGGTCTGTCTTGGTGAATATTTTATATGAGCTTAAGCAGAATGTATATTCTGCTGTTGTTGGATGAACTTGTCTATAAGTATATTCAGTTGATTGATGGTACTTGAGTTCAACTATATCCTTACTTATTTTCTGCCTCCTAGATTTGTCCATTTCTAAAAGAGGAGTGTTGGGGCACCTGGGTGGCTCAGTGGGTTAAAGCCTCTGCCTTCAGCTCAGGTCATGATCTCAGAGTCCTGGGATTGAGCCCCGCATCGGGCTTTCTGCTCAGCGGGGAACCTGGTTCCTCCTCTCTCTCTCTGCCTGCCTCTCTGCCTACTTGTGATCTCTGTCTGTCAAATAAATAAATAAAATATTTAAAAAAAATAAAAAATAAAAAATAAAAGAGGAGTGCTAAAACTTCTCTAACCATGTAATAGCAGATTCATCTGTTTCTTCTTGCAGTTTTGTTAATTTTTGTCTCACATATTTTGACACTCTGTTAGGCCCATACACATTAGGGTTTTTTATGTCTTCTTGCAATATTGAACCCTTTGTCATTATGTAATGCCCCACTTAATCCTGGATAACATTCCTTGTTCTGAAATCTGCCCTCTCTGAAAATAATATAGCTACTCCTGGTTCTTTGTTTGTTTGGTTTTGGTTTTGGTTAGTGTTAGCATGGTGTGTCTTTCTTTATCCCTTCACTTTTAATGTATATATATATATAGAGAGAGAGAGAGAGAGAGAGAGAGAGAGAGAGGGATAAAATTTGTTTTATTTATGTATTTATTTGGGGGGTTGAATAGGCAGAGGGAGAGAATCTTCAAGTAAACGCCCCACTGAGTGCAAAGCTCACACAGGGCTCCATCTCATAACCCATGAGATCTAACCAAGTTGGATACTTAACCAGCTGAGGCATCCAGGTGACCCTCTATGTGTGTATTCGTATTTAAAATGGATTTCTTGAAGACAACGTATAGGTAGGTCTTATATTTTCTCCACCTTGATAATCTATCTTTTAATGTGTATGTTTAGAGCAGTGACGTTTAAAGTGATTATTCCTGGAGTGCCTGGGTGGCTCACTGGGTTGAGCCTCTGCCTTTGACTCAGGTTATGGTCTCAGAGTCCTGGGGTCGAGCCCCGCATCAGGCTCTCTGCTCAGCGGGGAGCTGCTTCCCCCTCTCTCTCTGCCTGCCTCTCTGCCTACTTGTGATCTCTCTCTGTGTCAAATAAATAAATAAAATCTTTTAAAAAAACTGATTATTTCTATAGTTAGATTAATGTATCTACCATCTTTGTTATTGTTTTCTATTTGTTGCCCTTGTTCTTTGCTTCTTTTCTTGTCCTTGATTTTTTCCTGTTTTTTTGCAGTTTAATTGAGCATTTCGTATGATTTCATTTTCTCTCCATGGGGGAAAACAGTTCGTACATGTAACTTTTTGACGCTATTTGGCCACATAAGAATGATCCTTGGGCGTAGAACACTTCGTTAGCAAGAGTTCTCACAGCCTTTGTATGGAAATATCTTTCCCTTTTTCAGGCAGTAGTGTGTATTCTTTTGTTTTGCTTAAGCATGTGTGTCATATGGCACCTGAACAGCCTTAATGCTAGGTCTGTCCTCTGCTGGAAAGGGATGATATCCTTCATTGTGTTGGGCAAGAGAGGAGTGTACAGACCAATTACCCTGTGTTGGCTGCTGGAAGGGACCCATTGGCCATGGCAGATTAATGTCTAATACTGAGGAAGATCTCAGTCTTTCTCTTCTCTGTGTGTTCCTCTATGTTTTCTATGAGTAAAGTGTTCTGACGGGCACTTGACTGCATTATGTTTTCCATGGTGATTCTGATATCAAGAAGCATTTGGACTTCTACTCCTGTTATATAGGCAGAAGATTTCACTTGCTCAATACTCGCTTTTCTTAGCATATCAGTTATGCTTATTTTTACTTTTTTAATGCTTAGCCTAGAGTTTGCAGTATACATTAACAACTAATCCAAGTCTACTTCTGAATACTGTTGTATGACTGTGTGAGTACAAGGACCTTATCATAAAAAGATATTCCTAATTCCTCCCTCATCCCTTGTGTCGTTGCTGTCATTCATTTCAAGTAACTGTAAGCACACACATATATACATATATACACACACACACACGCATATAAGTGAATACATTTCTATTTTTATTTTGAATAAACTTATCTTTTATATCAATTAATGAGAAAAATAAAAGTTTTTATTTTTTCCTTTATGAATATGGATATGATCTTTTCCTTTATGGATACCCATGTTTCTGGCCAATATTATTTTCCTTCATTCTGAAGAACTTCTTTGAACATTTCCTGCACAGCAAGTCTACTGGCAACAATTTCCCTCAATTTTTGTCTGAGAAATTCTTCATTTTTCCTTCATTTTTGAGGGATAATTTTGATGGTACAGTATTTTAGGTTGGTGGGTTTTGTTTTGTTTTGTTTTTCTTCTGGAAAATTTAAATATTTCACTCCTCTCTCCTATTACCTGAATGACTTCGAGAAGTTGTATTTAATTCTTATCTTTGTTCCTCTATAGGTAAGGTGTTTTTTTCCTCTGTCTTCTTTCAAGATTTTTTATCTTTGATTTTTCTGAAGTCTGAATAAAGTGTGCCTAGATGTAGTTTTTGGTATTTACTGTGCTTGGTGTTTTCTGACCTTCCAAGATCCATAGTTTGATGTCTGACATTAACTTGGGGATATTCACAGACCTTATTGCTTTAAATAATACTTTTTTTCCTTTCATTCTTCTCCTGGTATTCCCATCTTGTGTATGTTATACCTTTTGCAGTTCTCCCACAGTTTTTGTAGGTTGTGGGTTTTGGGTTTTTTTGTTTTGTTTTGTTTTTTGTTTGTTTGTTATGTTTGGGGGACGTTTGGGGAGGATCTTTTTGTCTTTACATTTCATTTTGGGAAATATCTCTTGTCATATCCTTAAACTCAGAGATTCTTTCCTCAGCCATGTCCAGCCTGTTAATAAGCCCAAGGGTTTGAGCTCTAACATTTCTTTCTTTTTTAAGGATGTCACTTCTATTAGTTTTTGAAGATTTATAGCACTTAAATTATGTTTGCTTGAATGTATGAATGTTAAAAAAATTTTTCATAAAATATAAGAGCACTCAATTTGGTCATCAAGTAAAAGTAAAAACTGCCTTTCTTTTTAAAATTAGTCCAAAGTAGCATTTAGGAACGTAGTCGTAGGCTGCAATGTTGACACCATGACAAAACCAAATATAGGGTTGCATCTGGTTTTGTTTTGGTTTTGTTTTCAGTAGCCAGTGTTCTTGGGTTAAGTTCTGAAAATGGCCCGGTTGTAAGGCAGGGATCTGTTTGATTCTACCAGAGCTATGTTCCTTGAGTTGACTGCTGCAGGTGAGGCACATTTTCTGGACCATGTCAATTACCTACTAGTCATCAAAGTAAAAAAATTCATCATCTCTTCCTTGATATTCCATTCCATGGAAATCAACTCAGTATTATGAGGTACTCCAGTTTCACGAAATTCTTTCACAAACTAGGATCTTTCCTTATGACCTATCTGTGATTATTTCCAGTGTAGTTCCAAACTTTTGATGGTTTTAAGCAAACCATTCCAGGAGGGACATATTCTCAATCAGTTCATGTTCCTGTCCTGTCACGAAATGAGATTTATCCTTCTCTTTTTCTTCAGTTAGACAATTTTCTCCTCTTCTGTGCCTTGGCAATGAAGAACATTTCTCATTATATCCAGATTTTCATAAACCGTTAGAATCTCTACAGCTCCCACTTCCAAAGCCTTTAGTGTATCTTCATCTCCAAAATAGTACTTACCTGTGTCCTGGCTGATTTCACCAAAGTGCTGAATTAATTTCTCTGTTTGAATTAATTTTACCTTGGAAAAAACATCAGTAGGTAATGCAATAGCTTGGTTTCCATTTTCACTACCATAGGATATATAAACTAATTTTAAGTCTTTTGGCTGTGGTGTCTCTCCAAACATGTCAGATTAACTTAGTTCAGTTAAGGTCAGCTGATCCATCTAAAATGAGACCAGTCATGTTCACTTTGTGGAAGTAAACAGCTATCTAGCAGTCTCAGCTACTATCTGAATACAGTTATTCCACTTCCAGAGCAGACCTTACATGTATGGATTGTTCGGCTGTAGTGCTCAGTGTCCCTCTTCTGTGCCCAATATCAGTCAGGTCTTGGTCTACACAGAGGTACTGCTTCTGTTCTGCGCAAGCTGCACCTATCTGCTTGCCATGTTGCTTGATGGGTGCAGCTCTTTGATCTCCTGCTCCAACTAGGCAGTACGATCCCAATTCCAAGCTTTACGCTGAAGGCTTTATGCTGAATTTTGTACCTCACCACTTAGTTTGGAAGGAGGGTGCTGATAATTTAACCCCTAAAATTCATGCATAGACTGGCCCCTACTTACCATTTTGATTTTCCTTTATACTTTCCTTTTCTTGCTTTAACTACAGATCCACATATTTGTTATTGGTTTTTTCTTTTATTATAGTGGTAAGAGAGATTTGTGCTTCTGCTCAGTCTTCCATTTTGACCCTAAAAGTAGAAAATAGCTTTAAATCCAACTACGAAAAGCTTATTTACTTATTTACTTATTACTTATTTCTTATTTAATAAGGTTAGTGGACAGTGGATAATCTTTGACTTAGGGTGAAAAAATCTAAAAGTTTTAAAAATAAAACAACTGAATTATATCTCTAAAACAGACCATGATCAACCTCTGTATGACTGTCCTATGTGTGGGCTCATCTGTACAAATTACCCTATTCTCCAGGAACATGTTGACTTACATTTGGAAGAAAGCAGCTTTGGACACGGTATGTTGATATGTTTAAAAATAAGAATCTCTTGATTTAATTTCTGCTTCCTAGGTTATATCTAAGTTTTAGAGTAGTAATAAAGAGGGAAAAAAGCATACTGGTTAAAAATAAATTTGTCCCTTTAAAGAATTATAATATGACTTCAGCTTCTTTTTAGAAGTTGTTTCACAGAAAAGTTGTATAGAATGAACTACTGTGGGCAGTAACCAAACTAGTGGTTTTGCCCCTAGAGTTTTTCCCCAGAACACGAATATTCAGAAGACAATGAAATTGTACAATTTAAGAAATCTGTTTGATGAAGTTGAGACCATTCTTTCAGCAGCTAGAAATAACTAGATTTAGCATCAGGTCAGCAAAAGTTGTTGTGGAACCAGGAAGCTGCCGTATGGCACATATGATTTTTAAAGAATATACGAACTGTATGATTTAAATGTTTTTCAAGTTCATTTCCAGTTTGTCCAGTTTCTTATATTAACTGCTTATTAATTTTGTAAGTGACTCTATATAGTTTTTTCTCTGTCCCTTATGTTTTTGAATAGTGGCATTGATAAGGTAATCCTTATCGTGCCTTAGAAGTGGAAAGATTCTGTGAGTTTCATAATCCCAATGAAAAAAATATAAAGTAGACCCTAAGAGAAACCAATTGTGTTCTCCTGGATTTCATTTTCTTAAGGTACATTGATATCTCCTATTAATTCAGGGGTCTTCATTATCCAGTATTAATGATCCTAATACCAGTCAGTGATCTTCATGAGTAATATTCCTTGTTCACTCAGTCTAATCCCAAAATGGGAATCACTGGAGCAAAGATCGAATAGTCCTCTTCTCCAGTGATTCTCTGCTAACTACTGTGGGAAAATACCCCTCTGAAGCTGAATGTCTGATAATTCTTTTGTTTATAATAGGCTTTGTATGGGTACATAAATTATTCTGTAAGCCCATGGTAAATAATGAAAGATATGGCCTGAGTAAATCACTATAGATAGTGTCAGTAGTATGCTAAAAATCAGTTGTAATTTGTTTATCCTTGGCAGTTGGAAGTGGGGACCAAATAGGAAGATGGAGTAGAGACTGGGAGATTTGAAAGAAGAGAAAGAATACTCAAATACATAATTCAAATATCAAAATGGAAGTCAGGGAGACCAGATCCTGTCCAGAAGCCACTGACTAATGGATCTGTGGGATACTGGGTAGAGAGGAAACAGGGCAATATGTTGCAAAGTTGTACCATTTGTTTGCGACCAGACTGTAATTAAGCTGTACTTTGCAAACATATTTTTATGCTCTTCATTATTTCCTTTTCTGCCCCAGTTTATTTTAAAAGCCAGGTTTCCTTATTTATTTTAATAAGGAGCACCAATGAAGAATATTACTTAATTTTTCTAAGTTCTGTTTTCCTTAGGAGATAATACATAACTTCCTAAGGGTGTCATGAGGATCAAATGAGACAATTAATGAAAAATGCTTGTCACAGCCTACCTATTCAGTGTATATTAGTGATTTAAGTGGAGGTTCTACCCTTACAGAAGCTGTTCAAGTTCTGCTAGAAAACAATGTTTCCATGACATCGTAGTCATGAGTACATATCAAAATAATGGCATTTACTCCATTTAAAAGATATGAGTTAAACATATAATAAGTGAGATTTAAATTCAGTAGTCAATTTATTCTAAACATTAAAAATATATATTAGGCATAGACAGAGTCCAGTGTTCTAGAGATCTAGAGTTGGCTCACCAGCTTCAACAAGAAGAAGACAGAAAGAAGAGATCTGAGGAATCACGACAAGAAATGAAAGAATTTCAGAAACTGCAGGTATGAAGATTAATAACAATCGTAGTATTTTGGTTTGGTAGAGTTCTTATTTTTCAAACATGCTGTCGAGACTACAGCCTATTATTTTCGTCATTGTTGATACACAAAATACTCTTTTTGCATACACATTTTATAGTTCATAACAGCTACCACTTATAATTACTCATTCTGGTCATGTACTGGGATAAGCACTTCACATATAGTACCTTAAGATCTTCACAGCAACTCCCTAAATGACAGATGAGGAAGCAGAGACAGTGCTTATGTAGCTAGTAACTTGTTCAGGTTCAGGCTATATTAAGTGGTAAAACCTGGATTCAAACCTATGTTAAATTGATAGGGCAGATTAGGAAACAAAGAATTTAAGCGTTTGTATAGATACTTAAAAGAAGAAATTTAGAATTAATATCTCTTGTCTGAGTATTAAATTCTTTTAGTGATTGCAATTCAAGCATTTAAAAAGAGCCATGTTTAATGGAAAATCTATTTTTGATGACATTTGAGACTTTATCTTGGGTTGATGTTGGTATCTGCTGAACTAAACTGGTGGCATCTAATATATTTTTAATGCATGTACTTTTTTTTTTTTTTAAGATTTTATTTATTTATTCGACAGACAAAGATCACAGGTAGGCAGAGAGGCAGGCAGAGAGAGGAGGAAGCAGGCTCCCTGCAGAGCAGAGAGCCTGATGCGGGGCTTGATCCCAGAACCCTGGGATCATGACCTGAGACGAAAGCAGAGGCTTTAACCCACTGAGCCACCTAGGCGCCCCAGTGCATGTACATTTTTAATAGATTATTTCTATTTTTTTCAGTCCTAATTTTCTGTGAACTATTAACTGTGCTAATAACACTCAGAGTTTCTAATTACTCTCTTTCTGTGTGCTAATAGGATAATGTTTGAAAAAAAAGTTTATGATTGAAGAGGTTTGAAAGTATTCAGTTAAATACATTTGTATACTGCAAGATTTTTCGAAACCTTTAATGTACTAATGTGCATTGTACATATCATAATTTTCTCAGACTCACTTCTGAGTTTTTCTGTTCAGATATGTCACGCATGACCATGTAATTCTCTATTTGGAGTATCTAACTTAAGCTATTTTTCTCCTTAGTGATTCATTTTTTTGTAAAACATTTTCCCACCAAGATTCAGAGGAGGCAAAAAAGTTGGCTTTTCCTAAGTTTTCTTTGTCTTATATAATTTTGAACATTATAAATACGAAAAGTTTCCAGTATTTAAATGCGTTTGTGAAGTAACTTCACAAGTTCTTTAGATCTCAAAAACTTTTTCCTTGGAGGCTGTTTTATAATTGGAGATTCTCTATCAGTGTGCAAAAAAAAAAAGTTAATTTACTATGTAGAATTACTGCCTGAATGAATTGTGGATTAAGTAGGCCTTAATAGGCTAGCCTGGGAACAAATAATAAGTACTGACAAGTTTTCTTAAATAAATCAGTTCTATGTTCAGAACTGACCTGCCTTTTTTAGTACCTTTAGTAGGAAGACAGGATAGTCTACTTTTCCTACTACAATGAAAGCAAATCTCTTGCCCTGGCGGTTTACAGAGAAAGGCTGTTACTAACTGAGGGATTTGTGTATGTGTATGTGTGTTATTTATCTTTAATAAAAATCTTAAGAAAAATCTTTAATAAAAATCTCTAATAAAAAAATCTTAATCTTGTATGAAAGTCTATAAAGCAGAATGTTTCAAAATACATTTCCAAATAAATAAAATTGTAGTAAGTTTCCATCCTCATTGAAGTTAAGGGACATGAAAAGTAAGTCATTTTTATGTTCAATAGAGACAATATGGCTTAGATAATTCTGGAGGATACAAACAACAGCAACTACGAAATATGGAAATAGAAGTCAATAGGGGAAGAATGCATCCATCTGAATTTCACAGAAGAAAAGCTGATATGATGGAATCGCTAGCTATTGGTATTGATGACGGAAAAACAAAAACTTCTGGTGAGTTCTTAAACATCAAAATCATTATTTTAGTATTTCATATAACAGTGAAGTAATAATAATAAGCAAATTTTTGAATTTGCTTAACTTTAATAATCCATAGTTTATATACTTTTAGGTGAGACTGTTCAAATAATTAAAAAAAATTTTTTTTTAAACTCTTGTACTTTTATATTTTTATTAAATAATCCACTTAAAAATAATTTACTTTTATATTGTGTTCATTTACTTGACATTTGAAAATAGGCCTTTTAGAAGTTTTTTTTGAGTGTTTACTATGTTTGAGATCAATGCTGTGTGATATAATCAGTATTAAAAACTATTAATGAAATATTTTGCAGTCTTTGTACATTTTTCAAAATCCGATGTGTATTTTACACTTTACAGAGTATTTATATTTGGATAAGTCACATCTCAGATGTTTAATAGTCATACTTAGATAGTGGCTACTATATTGTTTTAGTATAGTTTTAGACACTAAGACCTTTATATATACTGCATCATTTAACTTGCAAAACAGACATTCACTTGTATACGGTTACATTTTTCTGGATTAGTTAATTGTGATTTAGATAGCTTAAATTACTTTCTCACTGTAACCACATAGCTACTTACTGGCCCAGCTAGTATTCACAATCAAATCTGCCTTGCTCCAAAGAATGCCTTTTCCCTGATATTTCTTAAGGTATTTTTTTAATGTACACTAGTATAGTAAAAAAAATTTATATGGAAACAGCTTTGTTCCTACTAAAGAGGTTCCTAATCTTACTATTTTAAAGCTGTAAACCTTTCATCTGTATTTTAAATCCCACGTGCATCCCTTTCTGATTCTAATCCCTCCTCACCCACACGGAGAACCGATATCCTTAATTTGGTATTTACCAGTCTCATATGTATTTTAATGCTTTTACCATATATGTAGGTATCCATAAAAATATGTAATATTTTAATGTATTTAAAATATGTGTAATTGGTATACATATGTTCCTATTTGGTCTCCTCAGATATGTTGATTCTTATAGCTGTACTTCATTTTGACTCTGATATCCTTTGTAAGAATTATACACAACTTATTTACCTGTTTTCATGTTGACAAACATTTAGGTTGTTTCTAGTTTCTTACTCTTACAAATTATGAACAGGTTTTCTTTTAATCCTTAATGTCCATTATCCATTTACCCCATCCCCCATCCACCTCCCCTCCAGCAACCCTCAGTTTACTCCCTTTTCTCAAGAGGTCTTTTTTTTTTTTTTTTTTTTTTTAAAGATTTTATTTACTTATTTGACAGAGAGAGATCACAAGTAGGCAGAGAGAGAGGAAGGGAAGCAGGCTTCCTGCTGAGCAGAGAGCTGGAAGCGGGGCTCGATCCCAGGACCCTGAGATCATGACCTGAGCCGAAGGCAGCGGCTTAACCCACTGAGCCACCCAGGCGCCCCTCAAGAGGTCTTTTTTAAGAGTTTTTCTGTAATGCAACCAGAACTGGAAATACAAGGTTAAAGGGCATGTATATCTCTAACTTTGTTAAAGTTATTGCAGAATTGTTTTCCAAAATGATCATAATCTACATTTGCATCATTGTATTCTCACTCACACTTTGTATGGTGACACTTTTTAATTTTTGCCACTCATTTTTGAAATGATAGTACTTAATGTGCATTTTCCTCATTACCCCTGAGTTAGTTTCTTCAGTAAATAACCTATTCCCTTCTTTTGCCCTCTACTGAGTTGTCTTTTTCTTCTTGATTTATAGGAGTTCCTTCAGTATTCAGGACACTAATTCTTTGTTGATTATATGAAATACAAATACCTTCTTCAACATCTATAATTTGCCTTTAAATTTTATGTATGGTATCTTTAGTTAGTTTTAAATTTGAATATAATCAAATTTCTGTCTTTGTCTTTATTTATATCTTAAGTGTCTTGTTCAAGGAAATCCCCCAACTTTGAGGTCATAAAACTATCTCTTTATATTTTCTTTAAACATTTATACTTTGCTTTTCATATTTCTACTTTTAATTCACTTGGAATTTATTAGTACATATGTATGTATGAGAGAGAGAAAGAGAAGGAAGGTGTGGATTCAATTTTTCCCCTTATTTATAACAGTACTTATAAGGTCTTATTTATAAGACTTTATATAAGATGTATAAGATTGCTTATACATCTCAAGCAATAAGAAAGGAAAGTGACTCTGTACTTTCTCCACTTATCTGTGATTCCCTGTGCCGTGTATTTTCATATCCATTAGTCTGTTTCTGAAGGCCATCTTTATATTTCTTCAAAGGTCTCTGTGTAAAAAGGTTTCTGTGGGATAGGACATTCAGCCGATCTGGAATTCTAAGAGCTATTAGGGTATACAAGAAGAAAATACTAGAGTTTCTATTTGTTTTTAATTTATGTTACCCTTTAATTTCTGTTTGTGCATATGTTTTAGAATTACTGTAGAATGTAGTAGAGTATGTATAGCTGTTATAATATTGATATATCTGTAGGAGGTTAAAGAATACTGCTCTGTTATGTACTATGTCCTTTTTATAAACTGCTTTGAAATTCAATGATTATGTGGCAAAGATTTTTATTTTTGTGAGTTATGCAAATATTAATTGAAGCAGCTATTAGTTAAAGCTATTATTTCTTTTCAACAATAGATTATAATTTAACAAAAGATATTGGAAAATATCTAAAGAGATTTAGGGGCTAAGGATAAAAAATTTTATTATGAGGAAATTTTTCTTTTATTTGTATATACAATTATATAATTATATATGTATTATACAATTATATAATTATATATGTATTATACAATTATATAATTATATATGTACTATATAATTATATAATGTGGTTGCTAAGACCATGTTACTTAGACAGCAAGGCACCATTGTCCTAGTATAAGTAATACACTAGTGTTAGGAAAACTTGCATAGTGGTAACAAGACATGAACTAAGGTTATAACAGTAAAAAGATAAAGAAGATGGAATTGACAGGATTTAGATGGGGCACTTGAGGAAGAGACTAATATTAGAAATATATGAGACAGCCATAAAAGATGATAGCTTATCCTTCTAAATCTTCTAAGTCTCTTTTTTATTTTAGGAATTATTGAAGCACTTTATAGATATTATCAGAATGCTGCTACAGATGTGAGGCGCGTTTGGCTTTCCACAGGGGTGGATCACTTTCATTCATCTTTTGGTGACAAAGGTTGGGGTTGTGGTTATAGAAATTTCCAGATGCTACTTTCATCATTACTACAAAATGATGCCTATGACGATTGCCTGAAAGGTATGTGAAGTATAATTCTCTTAACTTGTCTGCTGATACATAGTTGACCCTTGAAGAACATGAGTGTGCACTGCATATACATGGATTTTTTACAGTCTAATATAAAAGTATTTTCCTTATAATTTTTCTTTTTTCTTTTTCCTAGTTTTATTATAAGAATACAGTTTACAATATGTATAACATATAAAATACGTGTTAATCAACTCTTCATTTTATGTTTGTTGGTAAGGCTCTCCGTCAACAGTAGGTTTGAAGTTTTTGGGGGAGCAAAAAGTTATAGCAGATATTTGACTCTGCAGGCAATTAGTGTCCCTAACCCCTGTATTGTTCAAGGATCAACTGTACATATAATATGGAATGAAGTAATATATAGTACTTCAGTAACTGTCATGTAATATGTTTGCTTGTATAATTTTAGGTATGTCAATTCCTTGCATTCCAAAAATTCAGTCTATGATTGAAGATGCATGGAAGGAAGGTTTTGATCCTCAGGGTGCCTCTCAACTTAATAACAGGTTACAGGGAACAAAGGCCTGGATCGGAGCATGTGAAGTATACACACTCCTGACCTCCCTAAGGGTAAAGTATGTACCTGAAAACCCAGGTTAAGGTTATTGTCCTATATGGGAAGTTTTCCATGTTGTTTTTTTCTTTTATCAAAGGATAGTTAAAAAATAAAATTTAAGTGGCACTGAAAGGCTTATGCTAAAAACCAATTCAGTCCCTATCTCATGTTCTTCTCTATTCTCAAGTCTGATTTCTCAGAGGCAGCTGTTACTTCCACTGTTTCTGAATAATGTGCTTTCAGGGCTTTTCTTCCTTTTCTTTTCTTGGTTTATTAGTTTTAGACATTGTTCCATTTCCCTCACGTTTCCCACCTGTGTTCACCCTCAGTCCTTATAATTTGGTTAAATCTCACTTTTTATTTGCTAAAGTCAGAGTTTACATCATGACTGTATTAATATTATTCATTGCTAATTTTATTTACTTTCCCGAAAAGCTTTTAAAATTTTTCCTTGAGTTAAGAATCGTCTTTTCTTTCCTTTTTCCTCTTTGACTACATCATGGTCTCAAACTTTTTCACAACCTCCGCTTATGTAATCTGAGGCACTCCTATCCTGGACACTTCTTCCTTGAAGCTCTCTATTGTCTTTGCTCTGGTCTCCTAAATCCCCTTCAAAGCTATAACCATGTGGCATTTCTTCATTTTTTTCTTGAAGTGGAGCCTGGACTTTTTTCTGGATTCCATGTCTATCTTTTTTGGATTGTTCTCCTGCTTAAGTACATCTTTAATAAGCTTCCTGAAAAAAGGTGCCTGGTCCTTAATACTTAAATGATCATTTGGGTGGCTGTGTTATTCTAAATTTAAAATCATTTTCATATCAAATTAAGTTTTTGCTCTGTTAACTTATAGCAATCAGTGTTACTATTGAGAAGGTAAGATGTTATCTGATTTTCATTCCTTTTTGTATAACCTATTTATTTTCTCTGAAAGTTTTTTGCATCATCTCTTAGTCCTGCTATTATGAAATTTCACCATGGGGCTTTGATTCATTGTATTAGGCATTTGTTTTTCCTTTTGAATCTAGAATTGTGAGTTGTAAGATCCTAGTGTAGTGATTAAGAGCTTAGACTTCGGAGTCAGGCTTCCTACAACTGATTCTAGTTTTCCTGCATATTGGCTGGCTGTATGACTTAATTTGTCTGTAGTCTAGTCCCACCATTGATAAAAAGAACATGTAAATAGTAACTGCTCCATAGAGTTGCAGTGATATTGAGATGATCAAGAGCTTAGAACTATGGCTGGAATGTAGTTAGAGCTCAGAGGTTAATGATAATACAATCCCTCCATTTTCTTTGTTCTTCTTTCTGAACTTCTGGTAGTTGGCCACTGAACTCCTTTGACTTTTTAAGTTTATTGGTCATTTTTTTTTTTCTCTTTGCTTTTTGTTCTACTATGTAGATTTTCTCAGCTTTATCTCCCAACTATTTTATTGAAATTTGTATCTTAGCAATCATGTTTTTAATTTTAAGGGGTAATTTCATAGCATCATAGTCTGTTATGGTTGCAAATTTTTTCCCAACATTTTCTTTCTTTCTGTTCCTTGCATTTTGTGGGTTTTTTCCATGTTAATTTGTTTTCACATCTATTTATTTTAGTCTTTTGAAGTCTTTCTTCTAACTTTTTTTTAAGTCCTTAGTTGTCCATTCCTAGAGTGAGGATGAAGCACTAAAAGATCAGCGGTCCTATAGGATTACTTGGAGCTTGCAGATAAGCAGACTCCATTTATAGAGTTTTGGGTGGAAGCTTGCTATTTGTTTGGGGAACTCCAGAAATTTTAATATAGGTAGAGATCTTTTCTTGGAGCCATTCAGAGAAGAGTTCTCCACTCTCGTGCCTGGAGCTCCTGCATTGATGGAGTGGGTTAGTTAAGCAGTAATTTGCCTTTCTTATGCAAGTTTTCAATTCCTTTGACGTTATAGCCCCATTACTACTCTCCCCAATAACTAGTGCCTCTGAGCTTCCAGCATCTCTTGGATTTTAAGACAATTGTCTGTTTTTTCCATTCACTTTTATGTTTCCTTTTCTGCTTTTCATTTCCCAAAAATACAGGACAATTTGGGCTGTCTCCATTCTCTTTGTCTTTGGCTGTTTGAATCATTTTCTCCTTCAGTATGATGATGTTGGGCTTTCAAGAGGGAATGGAGATAGATGCTTAAGATCATTTTTAAGGGAAAGTTTGCCTTTAAGCTTCATGGCTCTGTTTTCCTTTATATTTGTTTTATATCATTTTTATCACATTAATTGATTAGGTTCAGAGGTAAAACTATTTCTTAAGTTTTAAATAGGTAAACTTTGGGGGTGCTTGGGTGGCTCAGTTGGTTAAGCGTCCAACTCTGGATTTCAGCTCAGGTCATGATCTCACAGTTGTGAGATTGAGCCCCACATGGGGCTCCCTGCTCAGTGTGGAGTCTCAGCTTGAGATTCTCTCTCTCTTCTGCCCCTCTACCTTCCTCCACTCATGCTCTCTTTCTCAAAATAAATAAAATCTTTAAAAGAAAACAAATAGGAAAACCTTGTCTAATAAATTTCTTGAATTATTTAAATCAAAAGGACTTTTAATGTCTTCTAACTTTACTATTTCTTCTTTTCTTCTTGCCAGTCTGTTCACATTTTCAGATTACATCTATATATCATATACTGAATTTTCAAATAATATTTAAGGAAAAGAAAATATCTGTCTAAAATACCTGGTAATATCCAGCTTTTTCTGTTGGTGCTTGAAACAGTTTAATTTTTTAGTAAAGCCTCTTTAATACTGTGCTCTGAATTTGTTTACTACTTGTTTAAATGTCTTTCACTCTCTGAGTTATATTTGTAGGTACTATTCAGATTCTAAATCTAAATATGCAGTCAATTTCTAACCTGAAAGGTACCTGCTTTTTAAAAAATTTATTCAGAAGTTCATTTCAGTGTTTAAAGCTCTATAGTAGGGACACCTGGGTGGCTCGGTTGGACGTCTGCCTTCGGCTTAGGTCATGATCCCGCAGTCTAGGGATCGAGTCCCACATTGGGCTCCTTGCTCAGCGGGGAGCCTGCTTCTCTCTCTGCCTGCTGCTACCCCTGCTTGTGTGCGCTCTCTCTCTCTCTCTCTCTCTCTTTGACAAATGAATATATGAAATCTTAAAAAAAAATTAAAATTAAAAAAATAAAACTCAATAGTAATCAATTGAAAGTTAGCCTCAACACTAAACTTGCTGAGGCTAAGGATAGCAACCATTATAATTTTAGTGTATTGGGAGACTTTTTTTGTCAAGAGAGACAAGGAAGGACAGGATATCTGTCCTATACTTTAAAGTGAAAGAAAAACTTTTTAATTGCTATTGCTTATAACCGAGCTTTTTTTTTTTTTTTAAGATTTTATTTCTTTATGAGAGAGAAAGAGCATACATGCACAGGTTGGGGAAGGGCAGAAGGAGAGAGAGAATCTCAAGCAGACTCCTTACTCAGCAGGGAGCCTGACATGGGGCTTGATCCCAGAACCCTGAGAGCATGACCTGAGCAGAAATCAAGTGTTAGAACGCTAACTCACAGAGCCACCCAGGCGCCCCTTGCTTATACCTGACCTTTTAAAAATAGTTGCTGAGAACTGTCAATAGTGCTTCTGGTTAAAATAATTTGATTTATTCAAGGTTGACTTCCTCTGTGGAAGGAATACCACTGTAGTCTAGTGCCAAGTAGCAGATAGATAGATGTATAGATGGAAGTCCATACAGGGTTTTTTGAGATCTTTGTAGGTATTCTTTTCTTGTCTGTTATTGGAATTTGTGAGAGCCAACAGGAAAAATACTCAGGATATTTTTGATAGATGTGAATGGCTATTGTGGAATTAAAATTAGAAGTCAGCTTCTAATTGATCATCAGGTTTAGAGAATTTAGAATGAAAGTTGTGTCTCACATTACATGTAGATGACTTTTAAAAACCAAGTATGGTCCTTATTTACTGTTCATGGGGATTATGTGTGTCAGAAAATGTAACTTTTAGATCAGTGATCAGTCTTATGAAATTATTTGAATAATTATTTCGTCATAAAATGACATTTTTCTGGATACATAATGGAGCTTATATTTATTTTCTTCTTAAGAAAATACTGATGAGATGGGGGCACCTGGGTGGCTCAGTGGTTAAGCCTCTGCCTTCGCCTCAGGTCATGGTCTCAGGGTTCTGGGATCGAGTCCCACATCAGGCTCTCTGCTCTGCAGGGAGCCTGCTTCCTCCTCTCTCTCTCTCTCTCTGCTTGCCTCTCCGCCCACTTGTGATCTCTCTCTGTCAAATAAATAAAATCTTTAAAAAAAAAAAAAGAAAATACTGATGAGATAAAATTAGTTCTAAATTAAAATTTCTTTGTATTTGATGACTCAATTGGTGAAAGTTTTAAAAACTCTTCTACAAACAGTCCATTTTGTTAATTTTTTTATAGGTGCCACATAGTTGATTTTCATAAGTCAACTGGTCCTTTGGGTACACATCCTCGTTTATTTGAATGGATATTGAACTATTATTCTTCAGACCGAGAAGGGAGTCCAAAAGTAATGTGTACATCTAAACCTCCAATCTATCTTCAGCATCAAGGTTGGTATAACTCATAGATAATAAGTATAGCTTATACCTTTACAGGAAAACTAATTGACTTTTGCTCTTTTAAGATTCAGGTAATAGGGAAGAGGAGAGTATTGTGACATTAGTCTGATTTTCAGAGCTACATTGTCCTTATGATTGGTACCTTCCTGGGTAGTGAAGGGTGCTATCCCTTATATTATTTCAGGGCCACCCAGTTCACTCTTCTGTCTTGTTCATCCCTTACTTTTTTAGGTCTTCACCTAAGACTTCAGTGAGGCCTTCCTTGATCACCTTATTTGAAATTCCATCTTGTTATCCACCCCTCACTGCTGGCATTTTCTGTTTCTCTTCCCTGCTTTATTTTTTTGCTTCTAACATAATAATATGCTTATTTATTTACTTTGTTTATATTCCTTCCTTTTAGAGTGAAAACTCCATGAAGGCAGGAATGTTTGTTTTATTTGCTTCTGTATAAGCTAACTGCTTGGAATAGTACCTGGCACATGGACATTTGATAAATTTTGTTGAATGGATGATTTGAAGCAACAGAAATAGGAGAAGTAAATGTTGGGAGTTTCATCATTTAGGAATACATGCTGTAAAAGTTAAGCCCTTTCCATTGAAATTCTAGTATATATAAATTTACTTTTGTTAACCTTTTGGATTCATGAGAGTTTTTGTTCTGTGGTAGGTAATTTTCAAATGCTTTCTTGTGAGATAATTTGGATAAGAAAGATCAAGGGATTAGGAAAGGAAAACTAAAATAATATGGCACAGTAGACACAGAGTTTTTTGTAATGAAACTTTTAAGAAAAGAAAAATTGAGTAAATGAAAACTGAAGGCTAGGAAATAGAACTAAAACTATTGTGTCTTCAGAGAGAGAGAGTACCTGTTACAGGGACTGACTGTATTTCTATTCTAAACACACATGTGCACATACTGCAGAGAATATATATACTGTGTGTGTGTGTATGTTCAGTAACATGTCTATATGTATAGCAATAGATAGGACACATACATATATAGCTGGTTTTTTTGGTTTTTTTTTGATAGGTCATAGTCGCACAGTTGTTGGAATTGAAGAGAGAAAAAATCGAACATTATGTTTACTAATATTTGATCCTGGATGTCCTTCTCGAGAAATGCAGAAACTGTTAAAGCAAGACATGGAGGCTAGCAATCTCAAGCAACTTCGGAAATTTGTGGGAAATTTAAAACATAAGCAATACCAGATAGTGGCAGTAGAGGGTGTCCTTTCTTCAGAGGAGAAAGTTGTAAGTATCTACATATTTGATTATGTGAAGCTTGAACAAGTTGAACTTACAAGTTTAAGATTTTTAGTTAAAATCAGTGTTATCCCTTTGTATCTCATTCTGCATTATTTTGGTTTTGTATCATTTAATTTCTGGAGTGGACATCTTTAAATTTCAAATACTACCTAATGACTTTCAAATACTTTACTCAGCTTCATAAAAATGTTTAATCTTATATAATGTAATTGTTAATGCCAGGCAAATGATGAAAAATGGCAACATATGTGGTAAGAAAACCTAACTCAATCCCAGGAGACCTAATGCGTATTGGTCTTAATAATTATGGTTTATTAAGTATGATTCTTATAATTATTGTGGCTCTATCTTACACATCTGCAGTTACTGGATATACGACACAGTTCTAGAATTTAACTTCATACAGTTGCCTCTTTATCCTTTACAGTTAAGTGGTGACTGGTACATTCAGAAGAATTTCTAGGTATAGAAAACCCTCCACTTGGTATAAACTGAAGTTACATAATGTTATATCAATTCTAGAAAATACAGTTCTCAGTATCTTAAGAAATTTCCCTACCAGACTACTCCACATGATTTGTTTCCCTCTGAGGAGAAAAGAGAGGACTAGAGAGGAGCGTTTATGAAGAGTAATAGGATTACAAGAAAAAGCACTAAAATCACTTGAAATGAGAGAGAGAACTAGAGTTCATCTTTTCAGCCTTACAACTTGGACTATAAAGGTGAAGATTGTTTCAGAAGTTCTTCAGTTAATTACATCTTAAAGGTTTCTTTGTTGTGTATAAATGCCAAAATCACATTAATTTTTGCACCCTATCATTGATTTGGCTGCACAAAGTTAGAGAGTAATTTTATTTATTTATTTAATTTATTACTTTTAAAAAGACTTATATTTTTATTTTATTTTTTAGAAGATTTTATTTATTCAAGAGAGCATGCGTGCACACATAAGCAGGGGGAGGGAGAGGAAGAAGTAGGCTCCCTGTTGGGCAGGGAGCCCCAAGTAGGCCTCGATCCCAGGATCCTGGGATCATGACCCAAGTGGAAGGCAGTTGCTTAACTGACTGAGCTGCCCAGGTGCCCCTATATTTTTATTTTATTTTATTTTTAAAGATTTTATTTATTTATTTGTCAAAGAGAGAGCACAAGCCAGAGGAGCGGCAAGCAGAGGGAGAAGCAGGCTCCCCACTAAGCAAGGAGCCTAATATGGGACTTGATCCCAGGACCCTGAGATCATGCATGACCTGTGCCAAAGGCATGCGCTTAATCAACTGAGCCACCCAAGCGTCCCTATATTTTTATTGTAATTCCAGTGTTGTTAACATACAATATTATATTGGTTTCAGGTATACAATGTAGTGATTCAGCAATTCTATACATTATTCAGTTAAGGGTTCTCTTAATCCCCTTCACCTAGTTTACCCATCCCTGAACCTACCTCCCCTCTGGTAGCTATCTGTTCTCTATAATTAAGAGTCTGCTTTTGTTTGTTAGAGGTTAGTTTTAGTAGTTATAAATGTTCATCAGCAGAGCATAGGTGAGATTAAATATTATCATGGAGCCTAGCTGAACATTTTAGTTGTTAACTTTCTGGTTTTGGAAACTGAGACATTGGTGTTAGTAGAATACTAAAAATGTAATATGCTACTGTACTTTTTTTTTTTTTTTTTTTGAGTCATGGAGGGTAGCTGTGTCTTTAACCAAAAGAATCAGGACTTGACTAACTGTATAATACCGCCAGATAGAGAAGAAATAACAATATGATTAGTGATTATAATTGTAATATTAATAAAGTAGTACTTTATAATGCTGGCTTTGTATTAGGCACCATCCTAAGCATTTTACACAGATATTAACTAATATAATCTACCCCATAGTGTAGGCACTATTTTACAAATGAGGATACCTAAGTTCAATAAGTTGTTATATTTCTAAAGTCATGCAGCTGCTAAGTTATATGAGGCAGGATTCCAGTTCAGTCCATCTACATCCAGCGTCCTCTATATTGCTTCTTCTGGGAGGATACAAAGTCTCATCATTTCATGTTTGCTAAGTAAGCTTATATGTGAACAATTCACTTTTATTGGAAAGATAGGACAGTATATTTTGAAAAACGAAAAATCATCAGTTAATATTGTTTCCATATATCACTTGCAAGCCCAGGGTTTTGTTTTTTCCTTTTTTTTTTTAATCACTGTGTCTTATAGTTATTCTGCCATTTTTAACAATGCTTTTATACATTATAGGAATTCAGCAAATACTGATGTATTGAGTGATCTGCATATCACCAGATAGAAACTTGCGTCTGTAACTAAGGGCGCATTAATGACTTTACTTTTTATTTCAGGTGGTGGTTTTCTTATATCTCATTTTAAAATATCTTTTTCCTCCTAAGTGATAACTATAATTTTAATTGTAGGAATTTCAGAACAAATTTGGTATTTTAAAGTATTGTAAAATGTAGATATTTGTAACTGCATCTTATGTTTTGTTCCTCATATTTGGAGTTAATTAATTATATTTTAATAATCATGCAGCTCTTACTCAAGGAGAGGAATCGGTTTTCACAAAACTGTTTTCATCCTGGCAGCTGTCCTGTAATTACCATAATACATTTCTACCATAAATATATTTTGAGTATCTAATAATTCCAAACTGTTACAGATTTTGGACCACTTGTTTAGGTGAAAGGATTTATGCTGGAAGGTATCTCCTAATACAGTTCAGTTGTAATGGATACAAACCTATTTAATAGCCATTCTCCTCAATTCTTTTTATGTGTTGACATGTTGTAGTTAAATTGTATCACTGCATTCTTTGTTTTCCATTATGTAATCCTTGTACTCTTAACTTGATTTAACTTTGTTTTAAATTAGCTTGGTATAATATGTCTTGACTTGTAAACACAAGTTGTGAAAATGGAAGAAATGTTTAAAAGTCTTTTAGGGGCACGTGGGTATCTTGGACAGTTAAGCATCTGCCTTCAGCTCAGATCATGATCTCAGGATCCTAGGATCCAGCCACCCTCCCCTCCCCTTCCTCAGGCTCCCTGCTCAGTGGGGAGTCTGCTTGTTCCCCTCCCTCTTCCCCCTTCTTGTGCATGCCCTCTCTCTCTAGGTCTTTAAAAGTGAAATTTTTAAGGCCATAATGAAGGAAATAATTTTCTTAAAGATTCTCTGTTCACAGCCCTCTCTCTCTCCTCTGTGTTTATACATGTCTCTTTCTGACTGTGAGCCATCATTTTTACTTTGACTCATTATTCCTTAAAACATAGAATTTTCTTTTTACTTTTTTCTGTTTTGTCTTCACCTGGTATTTTGTTTAATTTCTTTTTTTTTTTTTTTTCTTTTTCTTTTTTGGTTTGGCTTTAAAAATGTCTGTTTCTGGGGTGCCTGGGTGGCTCAGTTAAGCATCTAACTCGCTCTCACACAGGTCTTGATCTCAGGGTCCAAAGTTCAAGCCCCACATCGTGCTCCACTCTGGGTGAGGAGTCTACTTAAAAAAAAAAAAAGTTTATTTCTAATTTTCTTAAGTTTGAAGTTGTAATTTTTCTTAAGGAATTTTCATTATCTTCAAAAAATTTTCTAGATTTTATTTTTTATATTAGATAATTAATATAAATTCTAAATAATGGACTTCTTAAAATTAACAGTTCTTTAAAATTCCTTTTCAAGGCCAGGAGACAAGCTTCTCAAGTCTTCACAGCTGAGAAGATTCCTTGAAGAATTAAGCATTTCAATGATCATGGAATTTTACTTTATTTTCCAAATTCATATGTTGAAGTCCCTAATACAGCTATGAACCTAAATTATTTAAATATTCAACTTATAATTTAATGTCTAAAACATCTAAATCATACCTCAAGTACCTCACTGTTTAGTAACTATTTCAATAAACTATTTTGTTTGCATTATGAGTTCTGTGTTTCCTCATATCCTCATATTCCTCATATGTGTTAGAAACTGGTTTTGTGTAGTAGTCCTATATAATATTTATTGGGTCCTTCTGTTAGGTATCCTAGTATTTTTCCATTTTTAATTAGTGTAATCTTCAATTCTGTGAGACAGATTTTGTTAGTCCTGGAAGGAAGCTGCAGCTCTGCAAAGTTTATAATTCACCCAAGAAAATGATTGTAATCAAGGGTATGAACCCAGGCTGTCTTACTTCCAAGCTCTTACATTTGAGCATTCTGCTTTCTTTTGTTATAAAACGTATATAATGAAATTCCCTCCTCATCACTTAGAAATTACCTTAATATTTAACAGGTATAGTTCTAAAAAGAGGTTTTGCTTTTGTTAAATATTTATACTCTTACCCATGCAATTGTGAATTAGAACCTATGTTTCACATGTCCTGTAGGAAGCAAACTTTCAGATTCATGTTGGATGTGTCAAGTAGGGTTGCAAGCAGGAATCCTACTTTGGCCAATTTGAGCAGAAGGGAATTCATTGAAGGATCATCAGAAGCTCAGAGAATACACAGGTAACTAGGAAACTGTTCTGGAACAAAGGCGATTCTGGAGGCGAGAATGTGGTCTGATTTATAGTGGAACTATCTGGTTAGGAGCCAAGTCAATTGTCTCTGTTCAAAATTCAGATTCTAGGGCGCCTGGGTGGCTCAGTGTGTTAAAGCCCCTGCCTTCAGCTCAGGTCATGATCCCAGGGTCCTGGGATCGAGCCCCGCATCGGGCTCTCTGCTTCGGTGGGGAGCCTGCTTCCTCCTCTCTCTCTGCCTGCCTCTCTGCCTACTTGTGATCTGTCTGTCAAATAAATAAATAAAATCTTTAAAAAAAAAAAAAATTCAGATTCTAGAAAGGCCACATCTGATTGGCATGAGACTATGCCATGGGATAGAGGCAGTTTCTTGAAATTAGGGTAGATAAGGAAATGGATATTATACAACAACAACAAAAAGCAACACGATGAAAAAAGAACATACTTGAATAAGGTTTTATAAATGTTAGCTACTCCATCAAATAGTAAAAGCTGCACTCCCAAGAGTGAACAATACTGCCAATTGGAAAATTCTGGAAGTCATCTTTCCTAATACTCTATCTCTCAGACAGGTAACCTATGTTATCTTGTTTCTACTTTAGATCTACTTTACAGATTTCTACTTTATCTTGTTTTGTGCCATCGTTACCTTTTATCTAGATAATATAATAATCTCCTGACTGGTCTCCCTGTCTTGATCCTGTGTCAGTCAGTCTTCCACAAATAGGCCAAATGTTTTGAAATACAGATGTGATTTTGTGACTTCCTAGTTGAGCCTTCATTGTTTCATTACTGGATAAAGTCCAGACATTCCACACAACCTGGGCCCCGCTTACCTCTTCAGGCTCATCTCCCACCACCCTCAAAGTTCTACTCCTTCCAGCCTAAAGTCCTTTGCCAAAAAACAGTTGATGCTGCCTCTGACCCATCTCCCCATAGTTCTCTACCTCTTGGAAATGCTTTCTGCAAGGCTCATGTCTGGATTAAATGCACATTTTAAGTATTTGATAGCAGTCTTTTTCAAAGTATAGATAGATCAGTGATCTGACAACTGCCAGTCCGTGACAAGATAATTACAGAAATCAGAATTGTTGTGATAACTTTATTTCACAAAATAGTGGCATTGGATGAGAATTTTTATTTTTAAATTGGTATGCCACAGACTGTGGGAAACCCTGTTCTATGGTACCCTGTGACATTTATATCACAATACCTGCTAAGTTGCAAACTGTTCTGATTTTCTATTTCCCTTTTCATATTTCCCTCCTTGAATGGATTCAGGAGCAATGCCTACTTTTTAATAGTAGTTTCAGAGTGCCTGACACATAGAGGCCTTAAAAAAAAACTTTTTTAATGAATGGAGATAATAACTAGTTTTAGAGAAACAGTAGTAGAAAAATAGTGGTCTGAAGTCTTTGGATATCCCAGCTAGCCATCTCTGTGCAGATCATTTTTCCCTAATCAGATCAAACCAATCTCTGTAGAATAAAGGAGTCAGACTGAGAACTTTTTTTTTTTTTTCAGTTTTATTTATTTATTTGTCAGAGAGAACACAAGCAGGGGGAGCTGCAGGCAGAGGGAGAAACAGGCTCCTGCAGAGCAAAGAGCCAGATGGAGGATTGGATTCCAGGATTGAGAACATTTTTTAAGAAGTAACAAGGCGGGACACCTGGGTGGCTCAGTTGTTAAGCATCTGCCTTCGGCTCAGGTCATGATCCCAGGGTCCTGGGATCCAGGCCTGCATCCAGTGTCTGGCTCCCCACTTGGCGGCGAGCCTGCTTCTCTCCCTCTGCCTCTCCCCCTAGTTGTGCTCATTCTCTCTGTCAAATAAATAAAATCTTAAAAAAAAAAAGTGACGAAAGTGTCAAAAATTTTGAGTGCTCGCAGTCTCTGAGCAGGTGATAGAATTATAAATCCTCTCCCCAGCAAAACAAAAAACAAGCCCTCCCACACACATACATACACAGTATTTGTGTACAGCTTCACAGACTGGTTAAAAATACATGCTCTGATTGAGGGACTATCAATAATTTTGGTCCCAGTACCTGCTGACAAATATTCAAGTCCCTAAGAGGATTTTGTGGATTACATCTTTTCATGTTTGCCATATTAGAAATTAAACCTAAGACTTCTTTTTTTTTTTTTTAAGAATGCACATTATTCTATTAGCTGTAGCCAACAGAACAGGAACGTGTTATTTAGCCTCTGAAGATTCCATTGAATGTCTTTCTAGAGGTACATATTAGTGGTTGAACATAAGAAATCCCAAACTGGACATTTTCAAGGAACAACATTTTGTACATGAATAGTTGCCAATTTTATGTAATTCTGTACTATATACTATATATGTAAAACCAAGAGTCCACACACAGTATATGTGTACCAGTCTCACACAAGGCTGGGCTGATACTATTCTTGGTCAGAATCATCGTCCTCATCTTCATCTTCCTCACTTTCTCCCATTTCTGCAACAGGAAGAACCGCTGCTTCCCTCGCAGCTCGGGAAGCCTGCTCTTCTTCCACGCTAGGATCATCCATTTCTGTAATTTCGGCCCCGCTGGGGTATTCTTGGTAAACTGGTGGTGGAGGTGGGGGTGTGTAGTTGTCCGGACTATATTTATGACCCCAGCCTATGTAGAAATTTTCAAACTTTCTATAAAATTTGAAAAGAAAGTTGATGATCATTATATCATTTTTCAGTAAGAAAAATGGATCCTTCTCTTCTGTAAAAGCTGATCACTCTCAGTGTTATGGTCCCATAATTTCAAAACATTACATTTTAAGTGCTAGGGATGAAAGAGCCCTCGATGATTCTTTTACTACAGGACACACTACTGTGATCCAAACCGTTTAAGCTGGCTAAGAGGTGGGCCAAACTGTCAACATGTACGCTACACCTAGACCACCATCTTTAATCATTTAATTGCTATTTTCAGAAAAAACAAAACAACTAATTTAAACAGTTACTCTTCAGCATTAAGAAGAACTAAAATGTTGCCAATTTAGCAAATTATTGGTATGGCAGACGGTGCTTGTGATTGGTTACAAACCTCTGTGTGGTTTTTTGGGCCCACATATACACAGTTGTCAGGCTTTACCTGGAAGGCGTCACAGGAAAACTGCTGTCACTGTGCCATACTTGATGCCCAGCCAGTGCATTGCAGTCTTTAAGGAAGGTTCTAGTCAAGGACTCTGACCCATCCAGCCTGCCATGCTCTTCACATAGCTGAGTTCCTGGCACAGCTGCCTTCATTCTAGGTCTTATCGGAGGCCTTCAGCAGAGGTCTTCAGGTGCCTCTGCTGAAGGCCTCCTTATGGAGTTTCAGAAGGGGGATACCTTAAAGACACTTCTCCCTACTCTCAGTACTCAGTGCTTTTTCACTTTAGCCCTTCCCCCTACCCTCTGCCAGCTTCCTGGACCCTCCAGGCCATAAAACTACAGAAGCCTGATATTTGGGGACTCCCCAGTGAGATGACCTTCCATCAGTGTGCCATTCCAGGAAGGAAAATGGGACAGGAGCAGTCAGAGTTTTCTCCTCCTTATATTGTCATAGTAAATGATCAAAAGCTCAACTCACTTTTGGCTTGTGGCTACAATGGCAACTCTCACATTTGGCAGCTCAGCTCTCTCTCCAGCTTAGCTGAGCTTCTGACACTGGGTTCTTAGATGAGAAATGGAAGCATAAGACAAATGGAAGTGTATGTTCTGGGTGAAGGATAAAAGGACATCGAGTATCCTCTTGATCCTAATTCTCTTGAATGTGATAGCTTAAATAATACATACTTTAAATTACTTTTTATCAAGATAGCCAAGAAAAATTATGTGAGATTCAAACTAAACACTGCATAGAACTACCTCCATTAATCCTAGAAAATAAGTAAGTCTATTGCTCAAATAATCAGAATAAAAACTATATTAGGACAGAAGTCTGAATTACTCTAGTGTTCTAAATTTGATGCTTCACTATGTAATATAAATGTTGTTTGACTGAACCTTACAGCACACACACCTGACATGCCAAGATGAGTTACCCGCCTTCCTCCTTCCTTAGCATTCCTGGCACCAGACTTGGCTCCAAAAACACATCACTGGAAAACTGGTCCAGTGAGAAAACAGCTTATCTGATTGTGGTGACATAGGTTCCCTGGGAGTGGTCAACTTGGCAACAGGAAGAAGCTCGTCCTAGGCAGTGACATTTTACCCACTGTGGAATCTGGGGACTTTATCATCTGCCTCCAGCCTCTTGCTCTCTATCTCAGCCCCATTTTAAGCTATGAAATGGGGGACATCTCTCCCCAGAGTAGTGATAAGAACTCATGGAGAAGATGTAAGTACAAGTGCTGAACATGACTTCTGGCTCATGGGCTGGTCCTTCCTAGGTATCTCTCCCCCAACCCCTTAATCTGGGTAGACTGCCCATACTCTTTTTTCCCCTCCCATCCTGGTCTGGGACCTCACTCCAGGTTATTGTGAGTGGCTCCCCTGAACAACCACCCAGGGCAGCCTTGTCTCTTACTCTGGGATTACTCTAACTGCCTCACCCAGGCTTGTGCATCACCTGGGGAAGCAGGTGAGGGAGGGAAAAAAGAAAAAAAAAAAAAAAACAGAACAGAACATTCCAGTGATAATTATAATTTCCAGCACTTAAATAATCCTGATAATGGCTTTGTATACTTACTTGCCATTGGAAAAGGCATATGCTCCAGGCCAAAGGTTGGATCTAAGGACGGCAATAGCATATTGAGGAATGAGAGTTGAGGACAGCCGTGTTGTCCAAGGTGGTATATTCTGGATTTCTGCAAACCAAAGAGAAATTCAAAAGTTTAACTCCTGTATAGACAAGGATATACTATGTATCAGACTTCTTTTTACAAATCTTAAAACACACAAATTTGACATATAAAGAAAAATCAAGCATCAGCAGCTTAACATAAAGTCAGAAGGATAATTTATGAACCCTGTGGAACAACAAATTTGATTATTTATATGCATGTATGTGTGCATGGGTGTGTCCATCTGTGCAACAGAAAAGTTTTATTAAGGGAGAGGAGAACTATGTGGTAGAGAGGATATTATTTAATGACCAAATAAAAGATCAAATTATTATTATGAAAGAGAACAAAGATTACAAGCAAAACTGCTCCAAAACTGAATAGGAAGAAACAAGTCTAGGAGGACAAGAGAGGACTTAAAAAACCCACAATACCTATGTGGTTAAAAAACCACATAACTAGGGGCGCCTGGGTGGCGCAGTGGGTTAAAGCCTCTGCCTTCAGCTCAGGTCATGATCCCAGAGTCCTGGGATCAAGCCCCACATGGGCTCTCTGCTTAGCAGGGAGCCTGCTTCCCTTCCTCTCTCTCTGCCTGCCTCTCTGTCAACTTGTGATCTGTCAAATAAATAAATAAATAAATAAATAAATCTTTAAAAAAAAAAAAACACATAACTATTTTACATGTTTATGGCTTTAGATTATGGTCTGCAGAATGCAAGACAAGAATGATACACAAGACAGCTGTCAGCATTTCCAATAAGAGCTGCAGCCAATTTACTTTTCTTCCCAGCATCACTCCTTCACCCTCTGTCTGAGAAAGTTGCTGATGAGGCCAGCTATATTCTCATTTCCCACTCTCCCAAAACACATGAAAGGGAAAGGGGATGAAATTTTGGCTCCCGTTCACTTTTAATAGGTTTCCGACTCCCATTTATTAATCATATAATATATACAGTATATTATACATACAAGCATAAAAACTATAATATATATGTATACTATATATAGTATAGCATATGTACATGAAAAATACACTACAGTATATATACTATATGTATTATATACACATAATATCTATATATGTATATAATATACATGGCATATATTATGTAGTTTGTGTAAAACTACCTATATCTTCAGAGATTGGTGTCAAAAGAGGAGGCCCCACTTCCTGTTCCATATACTCAGGCTCTTCTCCTTTTTCTTCTTCTTTTTCTTCATCTTCCTCTTCCTCCTCCTCCTCACTTTTTTGTATGGGATTGAACCAATTACAGCGACCCTGGAAATGAATATTGCAAGATTTAATAATCAAATGAGGACCTTAAAATATTGGACTATTTGTTTGGATTAAAGCGATTATTTGTAGGAAGTCCTACTGTATGGGAATCTCATCAATCACTTATGCATTCAACATCCCAAGTACAAGGTTTTTGATCTAGCTTATTTTGAGCAAAAAATGGTATAATTTATTTCATAAATTTGCCAACTTCCTAAAGTTACAGAACAGTTATATTTTGAAATCAGCAAAACCTTAGTAGAAAAAAATAATGCACTTTATTAATTTGTAACAAATAATTTATGGGAAAGTGGTAAGGTACTATTATTAGTAGCAAAAACAAATTTTTAAATGTGATAATAAAGTTAGGTTTGGAGTTATTTCTCATTTGAGTAACCCTCATCCAGAGACATAGAAGAGTCCCTCTTCCGTAGATCAAAGTGTAATGATTTTCTACCTGCAGATGTGGCAGAATAGCAGGTGATTAAGAGGATCCATTCTGCCCATTCACATGTGACTCTGTTTCCTATTAGCTATATTCCCTTTTTCATGTTTTCTAAGCTTTCTGCCTCGATTTCCCCATCTGTAAAATCAAGATAATATTAGTCTTCCATGCAGTTGTGAGGATTACATGAGATAATACCGATTCGATTAAGTGCTATTAAGAGTACCTGGCAGAAGGGGTGCAAAATAAATGCTATACAGCACTACCTGTTTTCGTTTTGGTTATAATAGTTTATTTTTCTTGGTATAAAAGCTCCATGTATTATAGAAATAGAATAAAAGAACTGTTCCCAAAATAGGAATGCACCTATCTATAGTTAACATATAAAATGCAATTTCACAACACACATTAATCTAAATCCTCACATAACTTGTCAAATTCTCCATAGAAATACTGATTTTATTTCTTTTTGGAAATAAACATTTGTTCAAAGATCCCAGATCTCCATGACTTGGCAATTTCATAGTCCTCTGCACTTTTATTTGATTTTTCAATGGTTTCTTTGTCTAGGATCTGAAGAACTTTGTTTTGTATATATCTGTGCATTGTAGAGAGAATTTAATAAAAATTTGCTGATTGGCTGATAGATTGAGAACTGAAAAACCCCTACCTGAGAGAGAATGTGTTGCACATGATGAACCCAATTGGAAAGGGATTCCACGAGATCGATCACTTGGATGCCTTCAAAATCTGGGTTTTCTTCAAAGCTATCTCGCCGGCCTTCTACCTCTTCCTCCTCCTCTCCTTCCTCTTCACCAAATTGATAGAATCCCAGAGGGCTGACGTGGGTCCCTGCTGAAATTCTGGCAATTTGTGCTCGTAAGTAATTGCTCTCATTTCCTGGGAAAGGTGGGTAGCTTACAATGGGAGTCTCTAAACGCCCAGTGAAAAATTTCTTGATCTTTCTTGCAGTAACAATTTGTGCAGGTGTAACCGATGGTAACTTCACCCATGGTCCTCCTGGTTCATTGCACACAAAATACACGTATTTGTTGGCCCCCGTTCTATTTTCCTCTTTTGGTATAACCTGTGGGGTCTTGTAAAACGTCCTTGGTAATTCATCTTCGTCATTTTCCTCAGCGTCGCTGTCTCCATCATCCCTCTCTTCAGTTACATCTTCGTCTTCTACGTCTTCTTCATCTTCTCCCTCGCGGAATTCTACTTCAGCTACAATATAATTCATTTCCAGACCCAAGATCTTGCCCCAGAAGCGGCATCTTTGGATTGGATGGGTGTCAGTAAGCTGCTTGAGGGCAAGAAATATGCGATAAGTCTCATCTGTACCCAAACCAACTCCAGCTTGTTCGAAATAAAAAGCTGACTCCATTACATTTGGGAGAGAGTTTTCTGCCTAGGGATAGAAACACTGTGGTTAATGTTAGAAACTGCTTGCTTCCTTTTTCCTTTTTCAACATCTTGGTATTAGCTCTACGTCTCTCCATGATGTCTTTGACATTTCTTGAAAGGTTTAGATCTAATAATTCCTGTATTCCAATTTTTCTCTCATTACCCAAAAATGTAACTTCTACTATTGTGTCTTATACTTACCAATATAATAGTTGCCTTGTTGTATGTGTGTATCTTAAGGATAATTTACTAGCTATTATGAATAATAAAAATTGAACATCTTTTTATAAAAAATATTTAAGTGGTCATAATAAAATATAATCTAACTCCCTATACATATTTAAAGAAAGTATATATATGTTTGCACATATTACCATAGTTTTCTTAGTAATAAATATTATGTACATATGATAAAATACAGGGTGAATAAAAATCAATATGGCCCTCTATATAGGGTAATTTATAGGATAAAAGGAAGATATAATAAAATAAGTGCTCATACATGACTTCTCTTGAAAACATAATTTAGTCAGGTGTTTGCCCCTACTTATAATAAATGCTTTTGGATTTACCATAAGGAAGAAAATAAAAAAATGTTTCTATAAGGGAAATAGAAGTGAAAAAGCAAAGTCTCAAGTGAACACTAAGAAAACATCTGTGAGAAAGTAGAGATTAACCTTAAGTAGGATAGGGATCACTTACAAATTTTAGATAAATTTAGACTAATTTTAGACCTTGAAGATAGAGAAACTGAGAGCACTTTTCTGTTGTTAAAAGTGATCTGCTCTTGTTTATATTATAATGTTGGTGTCAAAAATAAGCACAATGACTGTTTACAATCCTCATCTCTTTCGTGCTTGGCATTTGTGGCACCCCTCAGTATTTTTTTTCCTTTCTCTTTTTCTTTTTTCTTTTCTTTTCTTTCTTTCTTTCTTTTTTTTTTTTTTTTACTCGACTGTAGTGGACACACAATGTTACATTTGTTTCAGGTGTACCCATAGTGATTGGACAAATTTATGCATGTGCTGTGCTCACCACAGGTGTAGCTACAATCTGTCACCATATGACAGCATTACAATATCATTGACTGTATTCCCTATGCTGTGTCTTTCATTTCTGTGGCATTCATTTCAAAACTGGAAGCCTGTAACTCCCACTCCCCTTCACCATTTTGCCCTTTCCCCCTTTCTAGAAGCATTTTGGTGCTTCTAGACTTTGCAGGGAAGGGAGATGTCTAATTCTAATTGGGAGTCCATGATCAGGTTTCCCAGCCAGTTTTGTATCCAGTCCCAAGACGGGAAGCAGCAGCCTTCCAGACCCAGAGAGCCTCTACCCTCAAAGAGGAAGATGATCCTGGAAATAAGACTGCTCCACGTCTGAGGTGTTACTAAATTGAAAAAAACAGATTGAAAAAAAACAAAAACTCAACAGGTTTTAAAGTGTCTTCCATTTCATTATATATATTTTTTAACTTGCCACAATGGTAGAAAAATCTTTTTTGCTGAAATGATTCTGATGATTTTTTTTGTTCTATCTTGTTTATAAAAGGAAAAGAAATATACACACTTCTAATTATGTGACTTTGTGAAGGTTTCTTCAAGATATCACCTGCTCCTTCTGAGTACTCTGTATCCCACTGTGTCAGGTTGGTCTCCCCACAAAGGTTGTGGAGCCCTAGAGATTAATCTGCTGTCTAGATCCTTACCCTCCTATGTTTTTCTTGACTGAACTTTCTGCTGGTTTCTGAAAATATCTTACACCAAACATCAAATTTGCAAGTATACAGACAGATTTTAAGTGGTCTTAGTGGTAACACAACATGGAAGCTCAGTAGATGTATAGTATAAATCACTCGGTAGTATAAATTACAAGCATGCGGGCATTCAGGAAACAATACTTGATGCTATTTTTAAGATATTTGGAGCAAAAATTCCTGTGGTACAACTAATTTTATTCTTTCATGATAGCTTTCTATCTCTGACACCAACTTTCTCTGTAAATATTTTCAACACTTTGTCTATAGTGATTAAAAGAAATATTTTATCCCTCTCCTCTTGTATGATACCCCATTGATGTAATATGCACAATATCAAGATGTAATATGAGGAAGTCACCTTGGAAAAGAATCCAAATAACATTAGAGATACTTCCAGTTGCTCTAGTTAATTAAAGGGGCAGATAGGCAACTTGTTTTAAAGCCCAGCTTTTAACTATCTGATGTTAATTCATTCATTCAATAAATATTTAATAAGAAACAGCTTTAGACCCACATCTATACCAGGTACTTTGGAGAGTATAAAAGATAAAGGAATCACTTCCTCTGATATCAAGGAGCTCAACCCCACATACATATAACAAACAACCAAGCCTATGAAATACTAAATGCAATGTGAAAAATAAGAAACTCTAAACAAGGAAATGAATGGTGCAAAATGAGGTTGCAAACACTATTTAGGAAACTATGTAAGATAGTCCATAAGAATTTCAAGCCACACCCACTCATCTCAAATAAAACCCTAGAATCAAACTATTCAAATTGATAGCCATGACTTACTATTTCATCTTCCAGTTCTTGGTCGACTCCTTCCAAATTTCCCTGGAGAAAAAGAGCCTTTTGCTTCTCTGCTGTTTCATATATTGGAAGCATCTCATTCTCATTTTGGAGTGTATCTAATTTTTTCCTAAAATGTGCCATCTTCACATCTTGGCTGATACTTTCAATGATGTCCACAGCATTTTCAGGACGCTCATCTAAGACCTTAGTTAGCATATCAGAAAGATGATCATATCTACCAGAAAAGAGAAAATTCCAGATAATATGCATGTCAAACAGCTTTTGAAGAAGCATTACTTGCAGACTCAATTAGTTGGTTTCTAGGAAACTTCAACAACTCAAAGCCTTCAGAAATTTTAAGTGGAGAAATACAGTAACTGCATCACTGCCACAAAGAACCTACCCTAGAACTTCCCTTAGGAAATGCCTCCAATGTGATATGAATATTTAACTTACTAAAAGAAAAAATACTACAGCAACTAGATTTCTTGATTTGCTCCAATAGAGGCCACACATGCCATTAAATGGAGGGCTCCAAGTCCAAGTTTTCATTTTATTTTTCAGATTTTAATATAATGTCTGCATTTGCTTTATTTATAGTTCTTCCAGCAAGATATTGTCAGTATTTTTTAAGAATTCCAAACCTGAAAATGCCTCTGTATCAAAATATAAAATATAATTATTAGATTTTAATGCATAGTTATAGCTTTTAATTTGGAAGTTTTAATAATTTGTTTTAATAGAATGGCAGAAAATGAGGAAGTAATTCTTTCTGTAGACTTTTTATTCAACAGAGTAAAACCAATATCAGATCTTGTATTTTAATAAAAGACTTTTAATTACAACAAAAAATATTTTTCATGGCTGTCAAATAAGATATGCATATAAGAGTGTTAAAGTCATCTGTTACTGAGCAGTTTTTTTTTTGTTGTTTTTGTTTTTACTGAGCAGTTTTTAAAGGCAGGCTGTAAAGTACTTAGAAGATAATAGTGAATATTCTAGAATATATTAATTTTTGACCTCAGAGACTTAGCATTTGGAAAAAAAAATTAAATTTAGATATTTAAGTAATATCAGTTACAAAATAATTCAGTGAAGAAAATTCTTCTGTTTTCATATTTTGTGTTCAGTTTTAAATTGTTAGTGAACTCTCAAGTATTTATAATGAGCTTCTCTGGGATTTTAACACAATTTATAAATTCATGCTTATTATCTAACCCAGAGAATTATGACAATAAGTTTATATGACAAATTCAAGTAGAATCCACTACTGAGTATAAATCACATCATTGAAGCTTAGTAAACTGTAGTTTAAAACAGGACTTTAGAAATAATCTTTTGAATTGTCAATCTCAGGTTTTGTGGAAGATTTCTAACCTATATAATTATATAATGTGGTTGCTAAGACCATGTTACTTAGACAGCAAGGCACCATTGTCCTAGTATAAGTAATACACTAGTGTTAGGAAAACTTGCATAGTGGTAACAAGACATGAACTAAGGTTATAACAGTAAAAAGATAAAGAAGATGGAATTGACAGGATTTAGATGGGGCACTTGAGGAAGAGACTAATATTAGAAATATATGAGACAGCCATAAAAGATGATAGCTTATCCTTCTAAATCTTCTAAGTCTCTTTTTTATTTTAGGAATTATTGAAGCACTTTATAGATATTATCAGAATGCTGCTACAGATGTGAGGCGCGTTTGGCTTTCCACAGGGGTGGATCACTTTCATTCATCTTTTGGTGACAAAGGTTGGGGTTGTGGTTATAGAAATTTCCAGATGCTACTTTCATCATTACTACAAAATGATGCCTATGACGATTGCCTGAAAGGTATGTGAAGTATAATTCTCTTAACTTGTCTGCTGATACATAGTTGACCCTTGAAGAACATGAGTGTGCACTGCATATACATGGATTTTTTACAGTCTAATATAAAAGTATTTTCCTTATAATTTTTCTTTTTTCTTTTTCCTAGTTTTATTATAAGAATACAGTTTACAATATGTATAACATATAAAATACGTGTTAATCAACTCTTCATTTTATGTTTGTTGGTAAGGCTCTCCGTCAACAGTAGGTTTGAAGTTTTTGGGGGAGCAAAAAGTTATAGCAGATATTTGACTCTGCAGGCAATTAGTGTCCCTAACCCCTGTATTGTTCAAGGATCAACTGTACATATAATATGGAATGAAGTAATATATAGTACTTCAGTAACTGTCATGTAATATGTTTGCTTGTATAATTTTAGGTATGTCAATTCCTTGCATTCCAAAAATTCAGTCTATGATTGAAGATGCATGGAAGGAAGGTTTTGATCCTCAGGGTGCCTCTCAACTTAATAACAGGTTACAGGGAACAAAGGCCTGGATCGGAGCATGTGAAGTATACACACTCCTGACCTCCCTAAGGGTAAAGTATGTACCTGAAAACCCAGGTTAAGGTTATTGTCCTATATGGGAAGTTTTCCATGTTGTTTTTTTCTTTTATCAAAGGATAGTTAAAAAATAAAATTTAAGTGGCACTGAAAGGCTTATGCTAAAAACCAATTCAGTCCCTATCTCATGTTCTTCTCTATTCTCAAGTCTGATTTCTCAGAGGCAGCTGTTACTTCCACTGTTTCTGAATAATGTGCTTTCAGGGCTTTTCTTCCTTTTCTTTTCTTGGTTTATTAGTTTTAGACATTGTTCCATTTCCCTCACGTTTCCCACCTGTGTTCACCCTCAGTCCTTATAATTTGGTTAAATCTCACTTTTTATTTGCTAAAGTCAGAGTTTACATCATGACTGTATTAATATTATTCATTGCTAATTTTATTTACTTTCCCGAAAAGCTTTTAAAATTTTTCCTTGAGTTAAGAATCGTCTTTTCTTTCCTTTTTCCTCTTTGACTACATCATGGTCTCAAACTTTTTCACAACCTCCGCTTATGTAATCTGAGGCACTCCTATCCTGGACACTTCTTCCTTGAAGCTCTCTATTGTCTTTGCTCTGGTCTCCTAAATCCCCTTCAAAGCTATAACCATGTGGCATTTCTTCATTTTTTTCTTGAAGTGGAGCCTGGACTTTTTTCTGGATTCCATGTCTATCTTTTTTGGATTGTTCTCCTGCTTAAGTACATCTTTAATAAGCTTCCTGAAAAAAGGTGCCTGGTCCTTAATACTTAAATGATCATTTGGGTGGCTGTGTTATTCTAAATTTAAAATCATTTTCATATCAAATTAAGTTTTTGCTCTGTTAACTTATAGCAATCAGTGTTACTATTGAGAAGGTAAGATGTTATCTGATTTTCATTCCTTTTTGTATAACCTATTTATTTTCTCTGAAAGTTTTTTGCATCATCTCTTAGTCCTGCTATTATGAAATTTCACCATGGGGCTTTGATTCATTGTATTAGGCATTTGTTTTTCCTTTTGAATCTAGAATTGTGAGTTGTAAGATCCTAGTGTAGTGATTAAGAGCTTAGACTTCGGAGTCAGGCTTCCTACAACTGATTCTAGTTTTCCTGCATATTGGCTGGCTGTATGACTTAATTTGTCTGTAGTCTAGTCCCACCATTGATAAAAAGAACATGTAAATAGTAACTGCTCCATAGAGTTGCAGTGATATTGAGATGATCAAGAGCTTAGAACTATGGCTGGAATGTAGTTAGAGCTCAGAGGTTAATGATAATACAATCCCTCCATTTTCTTTGTTCTTCTTTCTGAACTTCTGGTAGTTGGCCACTGAACTCCTTTGACTTTTTAAGTTTATTGGTCATTTTTTTTTTTCTCTTTGCTTTTTGTTCTACTATGTAGATTTTCTCAGCTTTATCTCCCAACTATTTTATTGAAATTTGTATCTTAGCAATCATGTTTTTAATTTTAAGGGGTAATTTCATAGCATCATAGTCTGTTATGGTTGCAAATTTTTTCCCAACATTTTCTTTCTTTCTGTTCCTTGCATTTTGTGGGTTTTTTCCATGTTAATTTGTTTTCACATCTATTTATTTTAGTCTTTTGAAGTCTTTCTTCTAACTTTTTTTTAAGTCCTTAGTTGTCCATTCCTAGAGTGAGGATGAAGCACTAAAAGATCAGCGGTCCTATAGGATTACTTGGAGCTTGCAGATAAGCAGACTCCATTTATAGAGTTTTGGGTGGAAGCTTGCTATTTGTTTGGGGAACTCCAGAAATTTTAATATAGGTAGAGATCTTTTCTTGGAGCCATTCAGAGAAGAGTTCTCCACTCTCGTGCCTGGAGCTCCTGCATTGATGGAGTGGGTTAGTTAAGCAGTAATTTGCCTTTCTTATGCAAGTTTTCAATTCCTTTGACGTTATAGCCCCATTACTACTCTCCCCAATAACTAGTGCCTCTGAGCTTCCAGCATCTCTTGGATTTTAAGACAATTGTCTGTTTTTTCCATTCACTTTTATGTTTCCTTTTCTGCTTTTCATTTCCCAAAAATACAGGACAATTTGGGCTGTCTCCATTCTCTTTGTCTTTGGCTGTTTGAATCATTTTCTCCTTCAGTATGATGATGTTGGGCTTTCAAGAGGGAATGGAGATAGATGCTTAAGATCATTTTTAAGGGAAAGTTTGCCTTTAAGCTTCATGGCTCTGTTTTCCTTTATATTTGTTTTATATCATTTTTATCACATTAATTGATTAGGTTCAGAGGTAAAACTATTTCTTAAGTTTTAAATAGGTAAACTTTGGGGGTGCTTGGGTGGCTCAGTTGGTTAAGCGTCCAACTCTGGATTTCAGCTCAGGTCATGATCTCACAGTTGTGAGATTGAGCCCCACATGGGGCTCCCTGCTCAGTGTGGAGTCTCAGCTTGAGATTCTCTCTCTCTTCTGCCCCTCTACCTTCCTCCACTCATGCTCTCTTTCTCAAAATAAATAAAATCTTTAAAAGAAAACAAATAGGAAAACCTTGTCTAATAAATTTCTTGAATTATTTAAATCAAAAGGACTTTTAATGTCTTCTAACTTTACTATTTCTTCTTTTCTTCTTGCCAGTCTGTTCACATTTTCAGATTACATCTATATATCATATACTGAATTTTCAAATAATATTTAAGGAAAAGAAAATATCTGTCTAAAATACCTGGTAATATCCAGCTTTTTCTGTTGGTGCTTGAAACAGTTTAATTTTTTAGTAAAGCCTCTTTAATACTGTGCTCTGAATTTGTTTACTACTTGTTTAAATGTCTTTCACTCTCTGAGTTATATTTGTAGGTACTATTCAGATTCTAAATCTAAATATGCAGTCAATTTCTAACCTGAAAGGTACCTGCTTTTTAAAAAATTTATTCAGAAGTTCATTTCAGTGTTTAAAGCTCTATAGTAGGGACACCTGGGTGGCTCGGTTGGACGTCTGCCTTCGGCTTAGGTCATGATCCCGCAGTCTAGGGATCGAGTCCCACATTGGGCTCCTTGCTCAGCGGGGAGCCTGCTTCTCTCTCTGCCTGCTGCTACCCCTGCTTGTGTGCGCTCTCTCTCTCTCTCTCTCTCTCTTTGACAAATGAATATATGAAATCTTAAAAAAAAATTAAAATTAAAAAAATAAAACTCAATAGTAATCAATTGAAAGTTAGCCTCAACACTAAACTTGCTGAGGCTAAGGATAGCAACCATTATAATTTTAGTGTATTGGGAGACTTTTTTTGTCAAGAGAGACAAGGAAGGACAGGATATCTGTCCTATACTTTAAAGTGAAAGAAAAACTTTTTAATTGCTATTGCTTATAACCGAGCTTTTTTTTTTTTTTTTAAGATTTTATTTCTTTATGAGAGAGAAAGAGCATACATGCACAGGTTGGGGAAGGGCAGAAGGAGAGAGAGAATCTCAAGCAGACTCCTTACTCAGCAGGGAGCCTGACATGGGGCTTGATCCCAGAACCCTGAGAGCATGACCTGAGCAGAAATCAAGTGTTAGAACGCTAACTCACAGAGCCACCCAGGCGCCCCTTGCTTATACCTGACCTTTTAAAAATAGTTGCTGAGAACTGTCAATAGTGCTTCTGGTTAAAATAATTTGATTTATTCAAGGTTGACTTCCTCTGTGGAAGGAATACCACTGTAGTCTAGTGCCAAGTAGCAGATAGATAGATGTATAGATGGAAGTCCATACAGGGTTTTTTGAGATCTTTGTAGGTATTCTTTTCTTGTCTGTTATTGGAATTTGTGAGAGCCAACAGGAAAAATACTCAGGATATTTTTGATAGATGTGAATGGCTATTGTGGAATTAAAATTAGAAGTCAGCTTCTAATTGATCATCAGGTTTAGAGAATTTAGAATGAAAGTTGTGTCTCACATTACATGTAGATGACTTTTAAAAACCAAGTATGGTCCTTATTTACTGTTCATGGGGATTATGTGTGTCAGAAAATGTAACTTTTAGATCAGTGATCAGTCTTATGAAATTATTTGAATAATTATTTCGTCATAAAATGACATTTTTCTGGATACATAATGGAGCTTATATTTATTTTCTTCTTAAGAAAATACTGATGAGATGGGGGCACCTGGGTGGCTCAGTGGTTAAGCCTCTGCCTTCGCCTCAGGTCATGGTCTCAGGGTTCTGGGATCGAGTCCCACATCAGGCTCTCTGCTCTGCAGGGAGCCTGCTTCCTCCTCTCTCTCTCTCTCTCTGCTTGCCTCTCCGCCCACTTGTGATCTCTCTCTGTCAAATAAATAAAATCTTTAAAAAAAAAAAAAGAAAATACTGATGAGATAAAATTAGTTCTAAATTAAAATTTCTTTGTATTTGATGACTCAATTGGTGAAAGTTTTAAAAACTCTTCTACAAACAGTCCATTTTGTTAATTTTTTTATAGGTGCCACATAGTTGATTTTCATAAGTCAACTGGTCCTTTGGGTACACATCCTCGTTTATTTGAATGGATATTGAACTATTATTCTTCAGACCGAGAAGGGAGTCCAAAAGTAATGTGTACATCTAAACCTCCAATCTATCTTCAGCATCAAGGTTGGTATAACTCATAGATAATAAGTATAGCTTATACCTTTACAGGAAAACTAATTGACTTTTGCTCTTTTAAGATTCAGGTAATAGGGAAGAGGAGAGTATTGTGACATTAGTCTGATTTTCAGAGCTACATTGTCCTTATGATTGGTACCTTCCTGGGTAGTGAAGGGTGCTATCCCTTATATTATTTCAGGGCCACCCAGTTCACTCTTCTGTCTTGTTCATCCCTTACTTTTTTAGGTCTTCACCTAAGACTTCAGTGAGGCCTTCCTTGATCACCTTATTTGAAATTCCATCTTGTTATCCACCCCTCACTGCTGGCATTTTCTGTTTCTCTTCCCTGCTTTATTTTTTTGCTTCTAACATAATAATATGCTTATTTATTTACTTTGTTTATATTCCTTCCTTTTAGAGTGAAAACTCCATGAAGGCAGGAATGTTTGTTTTATTTGCTTCTGTATAAGCTAACTGCTTGGAATAGTACCTGGCACATGGACATTTGATAAATTTTGTTGAATGGATGATTTGAAGCAACAGAAATAGGAGAAGTAAATGTTGGGAGTTTCATCATTTAGGAATACATGCTGTAAAAGTTAAGCCCTTTCCATTGAAATTCTAGTATATATAAATTTACTTTTGTTAACCTTTTGGATTCATGAGAGTTTTTGTTCTGTGGTAGGTAATTTTCAAATGCTTTCTTGTGAGATAATTTGGATAAGAAAGATCAAGGGATTAGGAAAGGAAAACTAAAATAATATGGCACAGTAGACACAGAGTTTTTTGTAATGAAACTTTTAAGAAAAGAAAAATTGAGTAAATGAAAACTGAAGGCTAGGAAATAGAACTAAAACTATTGTGTCTTCAGAGAGAGAGAGTACCTGTTACAGGGACTGACTGTATTTCTATTCTAAACACACATGTGCACATACTGCAGAGAATATATATACTGTGTGTGTGTGTATGTTCAGTAACATGTCTATATGTATAGCAATAGATAGGACACATACATATATAGCTGGTTTTTTTGGTTTTTTTTTGATAGGTCATAGTCGCACAGTTGTTGGAATTGAAGAGAGAAAAAATCGAACATTATGTTTACTAATATTTGATCCTGGATGTCCTTCTCGAGAAATGCAGAAACTGTTAAAGCAAGACATGGAGGCTAGCAATCTCAAGCAACTTCGGAAATTTGTGGGAAATTTAAAACATAAGCAATACCAGATAGTGGCAGTAGAGGGTGTCCTTTCTTCAGAGGAGAAAGTTGTAAGTATCTACATATTTGATTATGTGAAGCTTGAACAAGTTGAACTTACAAGTTTAAGATTTTTAGTTAAAATCAGTGTTATCCCTTTGTATCTCATTCTGCATTATTTTGGTTTTGTATCATTTAATTTCTGGAGTGGACATCTTTAAATTTCAAATACTACCTAATGACTTTCAAATACTTTACTCAGCTTCATAAAAATGTTTAATCTTATATAATGTAATTGTTAATGCCAGGCAAATGATGAAAAATGGCAACATATGTGGTAAGAAAACCTAACTCAATCCCAGGAGACCTAATGCGTATTGGTCTTAATAATTATGGTTTATTAAGTATGATTCTTATAATTATTGTGGCTCTATCTTACACATCTGCAGTTACTGGATATACGACACAGTTCTAGAATTTAACTTCATACAGTTGCCTCTTTATCCTTTACAGTTAAGTGGTGACTGGTACATTCAGAAGAATTTCTAGGTATAGAAAACCCTCCACTTGGTATAAACTGAAGTTACATAATGTTATATCAATTCTAGAAAATACAGTTCTCAGTATCTTAAGAAATTTCCCTACCAGACTACTCCACATGATTTGTTTCCCTCTGAGGAGAAAAGAGAGGACTAGAGAGGAGCGTTTATGAAGAGTAATAGGATTACAAGAAAAAGCACTAAAATCACTTGAAATGAGAGAGAGAACTAGAGTTCATCTTTTCAGCCTTACAACTTGGACTATAAAGGTGAAGATTGTTTCAGAAGTTCTTCAGTTAATTACATCTTAAAGGTTTCTTTGTTGTGTATAAATGCCAAAATCACATTAATTTTTGCACCCTATCATTGATTTGGCTGCACAAAGTTAGAGAGTAATTTTATTTATTTATTTAATTTATTACTTTTAAAAAGACTTATATTTTTATTTTATTTTTTAGAAGATTTTATTTATTCAAGAGAGCATGCGTGCACACATAAGCAGGGGGAGGGAGAGGAAGAAGTAGGCTCCCTGTTGGGCAGGGAGCCCCAAGTAGGCCTCGATCCCAGGATCCTGGGATCATGACCCAAGTGGAAGGCAGTTGCTTAACTGACTGAGCTGCCCAGGTGCCCCTATATTTTTATTTTATTTTATTTTTAAAGATTTTATTTATTTATTTGTCAAAGAGAGAGCACAAGCCAGAGGAGCGGCAAGCAGAGGGAGAAGCAGGCTCCCCACTAAGCAAGGAGCCTAATATGGGACTTGATCCCAGGACCCTGAGATCATGCATGACCTGTGCCAAAGGCATGCGCTTAATCAACTGAGCCACCCAAGCGTCCCTATATTTTTATTGTAATTCCAGTGTTGTTAACATACAATATTATATTGGTTTCAGGTATACAATGTAGTGATTCAGCAATTCTATACATTATTCAGTTAAGGGTTCTCTTAATCCCCTTCACCTAGTTTACCCATCCCTGAACCTACCTCCCCTCTGGTAGCTATCTGTTCTCTATAATTAAGAGTCTGCTTTTGTTTGTTAGAGGTTAGTTTTAGTAGTTATAAATGTTCATCAGCAGAGCATAGGTGAGATTAAATATTATCATGGAGCCTAGCTGAACATTTTAGTTGTTAACTTTCTGGTTTTGGAAACTGAGACATTGGTGTTAGTAGAATACTAAAAATGTAATATGCTACTGTACTTTTTTTTTTTTTTTTTTTGAGTCATGGAGGGTAGCTGTGTCTTTAACCAAAAGAATCAGGACTTGACTAACTGTATAATACCGCCAGATAGAGAAGAAATAACAATATGATTAGTGATTATAATTGTAATATTAATAAAGTAGTACTTTATAATGCTGGCTTTGTATTAGGCACCATCCTAAGCATTTTACACAGATATTAACTAATATAATCTACCCCATAGTGTAGGCACTATTTTACAAATGAGGATACCTAAGTTCAATAAGTTGTTATATTTCTAAAGTCATGCAGCTGCTAAGTTATATGAGGCAGGATTCCAGTTCAGTCCATCTACATCCAGCGTCCTCTATATTGCTTCTTCTGGGAGGATACAAAGTCTCATCATTTCATGTTTGCTAAGTAAGCTTATATGTGAACAATTCACTTTTATTGGAAAGATAGGACAGTATATTTTGAAAAACGAAAAATCATCAGTTAATATTGTTTCCATATATCACTTGCAAGCCCAGGGTTTTGTTTTTTCCTTTTTTTTTTTAATCACTGTGTCTTATAGTTATTCTGCCATTTTTAACAATGCTTTTATACATTATAGGAATTCAGCAAATACTGATGTATTGAGTGATCTGCATATCACCAGATAGAAACTTGCGTCTGTAACTAAGGGCGCATTAATGACTTTACTTTTTATTTCAGGTGGTGGTTTTCTTATATCTCATTTTAAAATATCTTTTTCCTCCTAAGTGATAACTATAATTTTAATTGTAGGAATTTCAGAACAAATTTGGTATTTTAAAGTATTGTAAAATGTAGATATTTGTAACTGCATCTTATGTTTTGTTCCTCATATTTGGAGTTAATTAATTATATTTTAATAATCATGCAGCTCTTACTCAAGGAGAGGAATCGGTTTTCACAAAACTGTTTTCATCCTGGCAGCTGTCCTGTAATTACCATAATACATTTCTACCATAAATATATTTTGAGTATCTAATAATTCCAAACTGTTACAGATTTTGGACCACTTGTTTAGGTGAAAGGATTTATGCTGGAAGGTATCTCCTAATACAGTTCAGTTGTAATGGATACAAACCTATTTAATAGCCATTCTCCTCAATTCTTTTTATGTGTTGACATGTTGTAGTTAAATTGTATCACTGCATTCTTTGTTTTCCATTATGTAATCCTTGTACTCTTAACTTGATTTAACTTTGTTTTAAATTAGCTTGGTATAATATGTCTTGACTTGTAAACACAAGTTGTGAAAATGGAAGAAATGTTTAAAAGTCTTTTAGGGGCACGTGGGTATCTTGGACAGTTAAGCATCTGCCTTCAGCTCAGATCATGATCTCAGGATCCTAGGATCCAGCCACCCTCCCCTCCCCTTCCTCAGGCTCCCTGCTCAGTGGGGAGTCTGCTTGTTCCCCTCCCTCTTCCCCCTTCTTGTGCATGCCCTCTCTCTCTAGGTCTTTAAAAGTGAAATTTTTAAGGCCATAATGAAGGAAATAATTTTCTTAAAGATTCTCTGTTCACAGCCCTCTCTCTCTCCTCTGTGTTTATACATGTCTCTTTCTGACTGTGAGCCATCATTTTTACTTTGACTCATTATTCCTTAAAACATAGAATTTTCTTTTTACTTTTTTCTGTTTTGTCTTCACCTGGTATTTTGTTTAATTTCTTTTTTTTTTTTTTTTCTTTTTCTTTTTTGGTTTGGCTTTAAAAATGTCTGTTTCTGGGGTGCCTGGGTGGCTCAGTTAAGCATCTAACTCGCTCTCACACAGGTCTTGATCTCAGGGTCCAAAGTTCAAGCCCCACATCGTGCTCCACTCTGGGTGAGGAGTCTACTTAAAAAAAAAAAAAGTTTATTTCTAATTTTCTTAAGTTTGAAGTTGTAATTTTTCTTAAGGAATTTTCATTATCTTCAAAAAATTTTCTAGATTTTATTTTTTATATTAGATAATTAATATAAATTCTAAATAATGGACTTCTTAAAATTAACAGTTCTTTAAAATTCCTTTTCAAGGCCAGGAGACAAGCTTCTCAAGTCTTCACAGCTGAGAAGATTCCTTGAAGAATTAAGCATTTCAATGATCATGGAATTTTACTTTATTTTCCAAATTCATATGTTGAAGTCCCTAATACAGCTATGAACCTAAATTATTTAAATATTCAACTTATAATTTAATGTCTAAAACATCTAAATCATACCTCAAGTACCTCACTGTTTAGTAACTATTTCAATAAACTATTTTGTTTGCATTATGAGTTCTGTGTTTCCTCATATCCTCATATTCCTCATATGTGTTAGAAACTGGTTTTGTGTAGTAGTCCTATATAATATTTATTGGGTCCTTCTGTTAGGTATCCTAGTATTTTTCCATTTTTAATTAGTGTAATCTTCAATTCTGTGAGACAGATTTTGTTAGTCCTGGAAGGAAGCTGCAGCTCTGCAAAGTTTATAATTCACCCAAGAAAATGATTGTAATCAAGGGTATGAACCCAGGCTGTCTTACTTCCAAGCTCTTACATTTGAGCATTCTGCTTTCTTTTGTTATAAAACGTATATAATGAAATTCCCTCCTCATCACTTAGAAATTACCTTAATATTTAACAGGTATAGTTCTAAAAAGAGGTTTTGCTTTTGTTAAATATTTATACTCTTACCCATGCAATTGTGAATTAGAACCTATGTTTCACATGTCCTGTAGGAAGCAAACTTTCAGATTCATGTTGGATGTGTCAAGTAGGGTTGCAAGCAGGAATCCTACTTTGGCCAATTTGAGCAGAAGGGAATTCATTGAAGGATCATCAGAAGCTCAGAGAATACACAGGTAACTAGGAAACTGTTCTGGAACAAAGGCGATTCTGGAGGCGAGAATGTGGTCTGATTTATAGTGGAACTATCTGGTTAGGAGCCAAGTCAATTGTCTCTGTTCAAAATTCAGATTCTAGGGCGCCTGGGTGGCTCAGTGTGTTAAAGCCCCTGCCTTCAGCTCAGGTCATGATCCCAGGGTCCTGGGATCGAGCCCCGCATCGGGCTCTCTGCTTCGGTGGGGAGCCTGCTTCCTCCTCTCTCTCTGCCTGCCTCTCTGCCTACTTGTGATCTGTCTGTCAAATAAATAAATAAAATCTTTAAAAAAAAAAAAAATTCAGATTCTAGAAAGGCCACATCTGATTGGCATGAGACTATGCCATGGGATAGAGGCAGTTTCTTGAAATTAGGGTAGATAAGGAAATGGATATTATACAACAACAACAAAAAGCAACACGATGAAAAAAGAACATACTTGAATAAGGTTTTATAAATGTTAGCTACTCCATCAAATAGTAAAAGCTGCACTCCCAAGAGTGAACAATACTGCCAATTGGAAAATTCTGGAAGTCATCTTTCCTAATACTCTATCTCTCAGACAGGTAACCTATGTTATCTTGTTTCTACTTTAGATCTACTTTACAGATTTCTACTTTATCTTGTTTTGTGCCATCGTTACCTTTTATCTAGATAATATAATAATCTCCTGACTGGTCTCCCTGTCTTGATCCTGTGTCAGTCAGTCTTCCACAAATAGGCCAAATGTTTTGAAATACAGATGTGATTTTGTGACTTCCTAGTTGAGCCTTCATTGTTTCATTACTGGATAAAGTCCAGACATTCCACACAACCTGGGCCCCGCTTACCTCTTCAGGCTCATCTCCCACCACCCTCAAAGTTCTACTCCTTCCAGCCTAAAGTCCTTTGCCAAAAAACAGTTGATGCTGCCTCTGACCCATCTCCCCATAGTTCTCTACCTCTTGGAAATGCTTTCTGCAAGGCTCATGTCTGGATTAAATGCACATTTTAAGTATTTGATAGCAGTCTTTTTCAAAGTATAGATAGATCAGTGATCTGACAACTGCCAGTCCGTGACAAGATAATTACAGAAATCAGAATTGTTGTGATAACTTTATTTCACAAAATAGTGGCATTGGATGAGAATTTTTATTTTTAAATTGGTATGCCACAGACTGTGGGAAACCCTGTTCTATGGTACCCTGTGACATTTATATCACAATACCTGCTAAGTTGCAAACTGTTCTGATTTTCTATTTCCCTTTTCATATTTCCCTCCTTGAATGGATTCAGGAGCAATGCCTACTTTTTAATAGTAGTTTCAGAGTGCCTGACACATAGAGGCCTTA